TATGCCTCTTGATTCTGATTGTCGTCTTACTCCGATGGACGACGTCCCCCTTGATGATCATACTCTGTATCGTCAGCTGGTGGGAAGTCTGCTCTACCTGACTGTCACTCGACCGGATATTGCCTATGCCGTCCATATCGTCAGTCAGTTTATGTATGTTCCTCGGACGACTCATCATTCTGTTGTTCTACGGATTCTCCGGTACATCAAAGGTACTCTCCTTCATGGGCTTCATTATTTAGCTCGTTCTTCCTTAGTTTTGACATGGTATTTTTAAGCTGATTGGGCGGGAGATCCCTCTGATCGCTGCTCGACCACCGGGTTTTGCTTCTTCCTTGGCGACTCGCTTATTTCGTGGCGCAGCAAGAAACAGACGGTTGTCTCCCGGTCCAGTGCAGAATCCGAATATAGAGCTCTTGCCTACACCACTGCCGAGCTTCTATGGCTTCGCTGGCTGCTGGCTGATCTCGGAGTGCCTCAGTCCTCTACCACTATTATCCATTGCGACAATCAGAGCGCCATGAAGATTTCGACGAATGATGTCTTCCACAAACGTACGAAGCACATTGAGATCGATTGTCACCTTGTACGTTATCACGTTGCTCATAGAAACATCTCCTTGTCTCCCATACCCTCTGTTGATCAGACTGCCGACGGATTCACCAAGCCTCATCTTCCCGGCCGTTTTCAGTCATTCTTGAGCAAACTCAAGTTGGGTTCTACCGTTCCACCTTCAGTTTGAGGGGGGATGTTGATATATATTGTATATATTTAGATATATATATCCCTGCCTAATATATCTCTTGTATAAATATAATAATATTGTACCCTAATTGTAAACAAGGAAAATATAGTTTATTCAATTAATCGTAACAATATAAATAGGGGATGATTTAATTACTTTTTAAAAAAAAAAAAAAATCTTAATGAATAATAAAAATTTAGTAAAATTTAATAAAAGAACATATCTTGAGATATTGTTATTGTTTGGCCATTTGATCGAAGAAAACAAATCAATTTTGAAGTTTAATAGAAAATTTTGCCGATGAATCAATGTAGAAGCCAACTTGATGAAAGATTACTCTATGGGTGTGTTCGTTTCTAGAATTTCAACAAAATTCTACTATTCATTCAATTTTTTTTCCCCCAAAACATCAAATCAAACACCTATTTTTCATTTTTTATATTATACTAAAAATTAATTTTACATTCAAAACATCACATCAACACCTATTTATATCACATCATACAACTATTCAAATTCAAAATTTTTACTATTCAAATCCCAACTCAAAATCCAAAACCCCAAACAAACACACGGAAATTTTCATTCCAAAATAAGAAAAAGAACACAAAATTACTCAAGAAACATATTTAATTTTGCAGAAGTCACTGTACAAACATTCACAGTCATTTAGCCACAATTTCAAGTTGCAAGAGAAAGATTTTAGAAAAGAAAGAACACCGCTGACACACTCCAAAACTCTCTTGTTTTATTTATTTTATTTCACTTTGTTCTTTATTTTTTGTAGTAATTTTTTCTTTTTTAGGTTCATGCATTTTATTTAATTTTTTCTTTCTTCTATTTGTATTTGAATTTGTTATGTCATTTTCGTTATTCTTTCTTTCTTTTTGTTATTCAATCTAATCAACATAAGATTGATTCAATTTTTTATATTTTTTTTTAGCCAATTAGAGAATTCAAAATTTTAAAACTCCTTCTAATTGGCCCTAACAAGGTCCTAATCCTCTAAAAATCAACTTTCAACAACAAAGAAATTGGTATATTCAGTAAGATATTGGGAGTATCTCTTTCTTTCATGTATTATTTTAGCGAAATCTTGGAGAATCAGATGACATCAATAAATATCATTATCAACAAGAAAAATAATCAGAATGAGGAATCCGTAGAGCTTTTCAATTTAGAAAGCTGTCCGCACATCAATTTCTTATCCACAATATAGAAAAATAGAAATCTCATGACGAATTTTTCTATTGTCATTTTTCAGGATCAAATTTGGGCAAGAGTTGAAGTTTTTTTTTTTTCTTAGTATTTTCTTTGGAAGTCTCTCAACATGTAGGAGATCATAAAATCACAAATCATGAATATAAATATAAAGCTTCAAGACCATAAGTCTAAGAAACCATCAGTAATTGAACCTCACCAGAATGATATATGTTACTGTTCAACCACTTATAGACATGATAGCTAGAGTTGAAAAAATTAGCTACGGTTCAAAAATTTGATTCGAACTCGACACATAAAAAAATGTACTTAGACCTAAAAAACAGGCCTAAATAAAATTCGGGCCATGCAAGCCCAGAATGACAGCAAAGTGGGCCGGGCCTATGCCTACTGTGCGCAACCCAACCCGATTTTAAAGATTCAATATTTTTAAATAAATAATTATATATACATATATATAAACGAACGAATACATGTCAATAATAAAAGTATAATCTAATGATTTAGGTCTTACCTTGTGCATGATGGGTCATAGGTTCAATTTTTGTACTTACCCTGGCACGAAATTGTCACCTCTAGCAATAGTCTTTATTGTTTCTATGTTATCCCTATTTTGTTATATGTAAGTGACATTATGAAGGCCAAACTTTTTCAATAAAAGGACAACCACAATTTGTCCATAAATATCTTATTTAGCTTATAACTAAATTGGATGAAGGAATGACTATGTGTATTAAAAGGATATTTAGGTTATATGAAAGTGATATCCATTAATTCCACTAGGCTACCTTCGGATATCTTAGAGGTTATATCCCTCGACACCTTTAGCAATTTTTACGATAGATGAACATACTGTAATTGTCGATGGATCAACTCAAGTGATAACTTATCCATAGAAGATTGTCAGAAAGCCTCTATATGACCCCAAAAATGACATGCATCCAATAATTGAATGTTGGCTGCCTACCAACAAATACTTCCGTCCAATAAATACTTAAAGGCGTTCAATTATGCATTTTTAAGATAAGACATTGCTTTCTAAACTTTTATTAGATAATACATTGATTCTCATTAATGTCGGGCAGACCACCGATGATGGCCATTTCATTTTTTAAATCACAAGTTTAAGAACCATATATGCAAATAAAAAATCCACCACCATCCAACGGTGCATGATAACAATTTAAAAATCGATTTTCATTAGCCACTGATAATTTGCTAATATCAAAAGTTCTTCACTAAGACTTTCTAGAGAATATTTTTCATAGGATAAATTAGAAGAGTAGTTTCGGAGTCATCCACCTTATTATCCCTTCTAAAAATTGACTTTTAAGACAATTAGAATTAAAAACTCTTTCGAAAAGTCTAAAAAGTTAGAGAAAATGTACCGTATAGTCTTTTATTTTATGTAGATGAAGAAGATGATTCAAATTTTAGAAAATAGACAAGAGGTTGCATATATTTGATCGAAAAGTCTGATATTATTAATCTATTTTTGGTACCACTATAATACAATTGGACAAAACTTAAACATTAACTTCGACGGTAAGACAAAAGAGTTAAAAGCCACATTGAAAAGCCATAGTCAAAAGTTTAAAGCAACAATAAAATTCCCAAAGCATACCCTTTTTTTAGATTGATTATCACCATATAATAACAATAGATGTCAATTTAAAAAAAAAAAAAAGGGAAAATATAGTGTGAGAAGCTAACGAACTAGGTTGGCCGTACCCTACAATATACGGTTTGAGAAAATACTTGAGGATTATAGGACTATACTCAAATTGAACATTGGGGCATACAAAAGCCAATTTTATGGACTAAAAAATGACGAAGATAACACCAATGTCGGACAACAAAGCTGGAGCAAGAAGTTTGACCAGAAAGTGCCCAAAAAAAATTAAATTACAGTCTAAACACCGGAGAAAAAAATCAAATGCGATACTAATTTTGAACCAATAAAAAATGGAGGCCAATAGAATACCTTTAGATTTTGATTAGTTTTAAAATTATACTATCTCCGTCCTCTTTAAGGTCACATTTATCTTTTGTACAAATATTTTTATATTTGTTTAATTTTTTTTACAAATTATTATAAAACCTAATTGAAGTATTTTTGTAATTTTTTTTTAATTTATAATGTTTTGATATAATAATTAATATTAAAAGATCAAGTAAACGAGAACATTAGAGTGAAACGGAACACATTTGTCATTTTTTTTATCCAAACATAAAATACTCAAGATCGTTTTTTTATATTACAAATGCTTTTATATTTATAGTTATTTATTTTAATATTCTTACATTAACTTTACATATTATAAAGATAACGTATCAAAATTATCATCAACTATCATTAAAATATATTTATTTATTAAAATAAATAAATAAATATATATTTTAATAGTATTTCTTTTGTGTGAATTTTTTAATTATTTCTGTACTATTATCTTAAGTTATTTGCATATTAAAAAGAAATACTACACTTAAATGTTCCAATCAATTTATATGCCAACATAACGTTTTACAAATGTGAAATAGTATTTATTATTTAAATTCTATATTATAGTTATTCTTTAGATGCTGATTAACAAAATTGTTAATAATAATCATTATTTAATATGATTAAAAGTCCATGGGGTCACCACTTAGTTGGTAAATTGGGTTCGATTGATTAAATTTTAAGCTGTATTGACCTGAAACAAAGCCACGTACTTAGGAATTATAATAGATTATAGTCAAATATGATCAACTATAACCAATAATATGAATGGTACGCAATGCTGCTATACCCAAGCATTTAAAAAAGATGCATAAAAAAATGTAACAGGAATTTTCTAACTCCGTTTTTCAATAGCTTGTGATTTTTGTAATAATAAAACTTAGGATGCACGCCGTAGCCTTAATCCTCATAATACTCGGTAAATATCTTTTTTACTTGGTAAGTTAAAATGATTAAAATTGTTTCTATTGAAAGAAAATACTAGTATTTTATACAACATTGAAAGCCGTAAAACCAGTCCACAGAGGAAGAGCTTATACATACAAAATCCATATACTCACATTTTTATCTCTCTGTATCAGTATTTCTCTCTCTACGAATGAAATGAAGGAGCTCTTCCGTGGTTCGCGAGGGAATATAACGCCTTTTAGATGACGTCGCCGTTTTCCGCCGTCATCGCCGCCGCACTATGGTTATTGCTCTCCGCCGTGTTTTCTCCTCCGCCGTCTGTTTACGGCCTGGGCGGCTTTGTCGATACTCTCGCTGTTGTCTACGGCGCAGCTACCACCGTTTGTTCGATAGCTGCGGGGGGATCCCTTCAACAAATTCAATGCTGGAGGAACGGTCAATTGCTGTCGCCAATATCCCCTGCAATTTCCGTTGACGTCGTCGCCGGTGGCCGCGACACACTCTGCGGCGTTAGGTCCGGTGGATTCACCCTCCTCTGCTGGGACGATAACTTTATTTCTAAGAGGATTTACCAAAACGCTTCGGTGCCGTTAACGTCTCTAACAATCGGCGACGCTCAAATTTGTGCGCTGAGGAGAGCCAGTGGTGGGGAGAATGCCTATTGCTGGCGAGGAGACAATGTTTCATCCGCCGAATTTCAAATCAGGAGCTCTGATTTTCGCGTGATTTCATCTGGATTGGAGATTTCCTGCGGAGTGGTGGAAAAGAACAGTCAGGTATTATGTTGGGGAGACGATGTGCTCTCTCCTTGGCTTCAATTTCAGTTTGCGAATATATCTATGGGGAATATTCATGTCGGGGGAAGGCATGCTTGTGGAATCGATAATTCAGGATTGGTAATCTGCAAAGGCGACAACAGCAGTAATCAATTGAATGTGCCTTCAAATTCCGCATACGAGTACAGAGCCCTAGCACTCGGAGCAAACCACAGCTGTGCGATTCGAAGATTGAATCACACAGTGGTTTGTTGGGGTGGAGACGGTGACTTTTCGAGTAACATTACCGATGGTGTTCCATTTGAGTACATTGTGGCAGGGTTGAATTTCACTTGTGGATTGACCACAAGCAATTTTTCAGTGATGTGTTGGGGCCCTGGTTGGCCTGATCAGTATCCTTCTTTGCTGCCTCTGCAGAGGACTCTTCCAGGCGCCTGTGTCGATTCCAGTGCTTCTTGTCCCTGTAATATATATCCCGATTCTGATTCACTTTGTTCTGGGAATGGCCATATTTGCAGGCCTTGTGATATGCCGATCTCAATTCCCCCAGTTTCACCACCATCGCCTCCATTGCCGCCGCCTAGCGTTAGTCCTTCCCCGTCACACTCCAGAGGACTCAGAAGGGGTTTGCTGGCCTATGCAATAGTTGGATCAGTTGGAGGATTTGCAGGGATTTGTGCGGCAATTTATTGTTTATGGGCAGGTGTTTGTTTTGGGAAGAAGAAGATCCATAACTCAGTGCAGCCAACAATCACTCCTAATAATGTGGCTACTCAGCAATCCAGAAGTAACTCATCTTCACGATCCTCACGATCATCCACCCTTAGACGCCAAGCATCCATTCTCATGAGGCGCCAGCGAAGTGGGACATCTACCAAACACCCTGACAAGGCTGAGGAATTTTTATTCTCGGATCTTGCAGCGGCAACCAATAATTTCTCATTGGAGAACAAGATAGGTTCTGGGAGTTTTGGAGTTATTTACCGTGGGAAACTACCCGATGGCCGTGAAGTAGCTATTAAGAGGAGTGAGTCACTTCTTAAGATGAAGAAATTTCAGGAGAAAGAGAGTGCATTCGAGTCGGAACTGACATTCCTATCAAGACTGCATCACAAGCATTTGGTTAGGCTGGTTGGTTACTGTGTTGAGCAAGATGAGAGGCTGTTGGTTTATGAGTACATGAAGAATCGTGCACTTTATGATCATTTACATGACAAGAACAATGTGGAAAAGAGTTGCAGTGTGATAAACTCATGGAGAATTCGGATAAAGATCTCGCTAGATGCAGCTCGTGGCATTGAGTATCTACACAACTATGCAGTCCCCTCTATAATCCATCGCGACATCAAGTCTTCGAACATACTGCTCGACGCGAATTGGACTGCAAGAGTGTCCGACTTTGGATTATCACTAATGGGACCTGAGAATGAGAGTGATTTCCGCCCAATGAAGGCAGCCGGCACAATTGGCTACATTGATCCAGAATACTATGGACTGAATGTCCTGACAGCAAAGAGTGATGTCTACGGTCTTGGAGTAGTGCTGCTGGAGCTTCTAACTGGGAAGAGGGCTATATTCAAAACAGATAGTGAAGGTGAACCGATCAGCCTAGTGGACTATGCAGTGCCAGCAATTATGGCTGGAGAATTGAACAAGATTCTAGACCCGCGGGTTGGTTTGCCTGAGGGGAGTGAATCCGAAGCAGTAGAATTGGTAGCGTACACGGCGATGCATTGCGTGCATTTGGAAGGGAAAGATAGGCCTACGATGACGGACATTGTAGGTAACCTGGAGAGAGCATTGTCTGCATGTGGAGATAGCCATGGCAGCATCTCCAGTGGTAGAAACTCCATTGTTTCAGAGGCTGAAGTGAGGTAAAGATGAAATAAGATTCATAGTTATATATATTTTTTGCTGTCAAGTTCATTCGGCCATTTCTAAGTTTGCTTGGTTTAGGTGAGTAAATTGGTAGAGTATGAATTGTTTGTCCTAACAAGCTGAAGCTGAAGCTTTTGGGTTGGGACGTTGGTACATAATTGTTAGGTAGGTTTTGTTAGGTTTGACTTGTTTCTGGAAACAAGAAGAAGAAGAAGAAGAACAAGTTTTGGAATTCATTTCTCACTTGAATAGAATAGTATTTAGGCCTTTGATGATCAAATAAGGCGCCCACATTATTTATTTATTAAGTATTTCTGACAATTTGAATTAGTAGTATTGATGAGGGTGGTCCTTCTCCCTGCCAGCGTAGTCCTGGTTGAGTGAGGCTTTTGCGACTTTGAAAATGTCTCTGAAACTGAAAGCTAGCGAGCGGTCAATTAAAGCCAGTTGGGAGGTGCTTGATGTAGTGGCACGTGTAGGGTCCGGATTAGCTTTATCCTCCTAACTTTATAGAGAGTGGTAGTAGGAGGAGTATTATACCATACATATATATATATATATATATATATAAAGGGAGATCTGAACTGTCTGATTGAAAAAAGACACAACATGAATGGAGGAAGCATGGGTGAAGTGGGGCAGTGTTGTTGGGGGCAGGTGAGGCGGCTTCCCAATTAGTGTTAGCCATAATACATACATAGTGTGAAACTGAATGGCAATGGAGGGATATTAGTCAAACTGCAGTTGGTTCACACGGACGGACCTAGCAACCACTTGGTGCTGCAGCTGCTGCCATGAAAGAGATGAGAATGATCATACATACACACACACACACACACTATGAACTAACTATTGTAGTTGGGACAGTACAACATCAATCTGAGATTTGGTGTCATGGTTGATGATCCCCAATTGAAGCTAGCCTAGCGGGTCAGAGATGTAGTATAATCATCTTTCAAAATGGAGTATGTATGTAGTAGACAGTAGTAGTAATAGATGATCGCGTGTGACAGGCCCATCCTATTTTGTTTAGATTTGGTTGGATTCAAATCTAACCACACAACATTATGTTGACGAAATAGAAATTTAGGTCTCATTGGATTGGAGTGGAGTGGAGTGGAGTGGATGTACGCACGTAGGTAGCAGTGTGTGTACCAGGCAGCTGCATGTTTGGATGCGAAGTTCCCCAGCTGCTGCTTCTCGCTAGCACTCATCATTGCGCTCTGTCTGTCTGTCTGTCTGATTGAGCTTTGTGTACTTTGTCCAGAGAAGAAACGTACGTACGTACACGCTGTGTGTATGCAAGTATGCATGTATTTCCATTTAGAGCTATAATGAATGCAGTTAGACATAAGAAGCCCACGGCACAGAGCGAGCATCTGAAGTTCACAACCAAACAATAATGATGATGATGATGATGCGGAAGCAACTCCTCAACTGGCGGCGGAGAGTGGAGTGGACAAGTACTTCCGCCCGCCCGATTCTCCTCCAGTCCACTCCAGTACCAGTACAGTCCACAGCAAAAACACAAAATCCAAAGTGAGTGCAAATCCCCAATTTTAACGACTCATGCGTCGTTATCATTTCCAGGCAATCTCAATCTCAATCGTTTCTTGTCTGTCTGTCTGTCTGTCCGTCCGTTTCCAGAAAGTGCGGCTCTGGACCGGTGAATGGAAGGATTGGAGATACCTGAATGCATACACACATACTAATACCATACCGCGGTTATATTTATATATATATATATATAGATATATTACATATTAGAAAATATATTTATAATTGTTAAATGATATAAATAATGGTACAAATAAAAAATAATAGTCAATCAACCGGCCACAAATAAAAAAGAAAAAAATGAAAAAATTGTGTTTCAAACACGCTCTTAATTTATTTAAATAATTTGTATATCATTATAATAGGTTACACGTGTTCTACAAGTTAATTAAAAAGTGATTAATTTATTTTATTTTTTTATTAAATTTTGCAAATATTTTATTTGTCATTTATTCTATAGATAAAATATTGTAATTTTTTTTTGTTGATTGTTGGTTAATTTTTTTTTTAATTTTAAATTATATATATTATTATGTTATACTTCTTCCGTCCCACTTCTCATGTCCACCTTTCAATTTCCGGCCGTCCCGTTATTTTCTCACTTTTTTTTTAAAATAATTATACACTTTAATCTTATTTTTAAAAATTTAATTTTTAATTTTTTTTAATTTTAATTATACTAATCATTTATCTTAATCTTAATCTATAATTATTTTTATTATACCTATAATTATTTTTACTAATACATTTTTAATTATTTACTAATTATTCCCTTCTTAATTCTCGTGTCTACGGTAACGTGGTCAAATTATCCGGGACGGAGGGAGTAATTTTTATTAATTGCACTATGAGTAGCACGGGTACTTACGCTAGTTATACATATATGACTCGTATGTTGGTTGCAGAAATTTATTATTATAGCAAAAGAGAAATTTGATACGTTTGTATTTGAATTTAATTTTTTTTATTGAATATGATATTTTATAAAATAATTTATTTTTATTAAAAATATATATAATAAATAATAGAAAATTTATCTAGAAATACAATCATAATAATAATAAAAATAAATAAATAAATAAATAAATAGATTGAGATGTAATGATTATTGTTGAGGAGAATAGGTGTTGCACTAAATCACCTTTGAACACCTATTCAAGGATCAACTCCCCAAAGTGGTTATATTACAGTTGTAACACCTTACTGCCAACTGAATACATGCGGAAATATAAAGCCGGAGTCGAGCTGTTCAGAATTTGGACATCTCCCCTAATCGGAATTTCTATTTCTCTTTTCTCCGACGAGGTCTCCAGCAAGATAAAAGTGTAATTGGGTTGAGATGATTTAACATACTTTTTCTCTCATTACACATACTATCAAAACCTTCCAACGACCATCTCTCTCCTCACAATGATCTATAAAGCCATCTTATTTTGCATGTAAGACAAAACTAATTAAAGCCCATGCACATAAATGGAATAATGTGTTTTTGCATTAAATCTGCAACATGTTAACTACCCAAAACATTCCATTCATTTGTCTTGTGCTCACCAACGGAGAGAATAGAATGTAAGACAAACAATGTTTTTGTTAACCTGTAGTAGTAATCTGATAAGACATTTTATTCCAAATGTAACTGTGAAAGGCAGCACCAGGAAAACATGAAAAACCATATACTAAAATAGATTGGAGTTTTCTTATTTCAACAATTATAATTATAATTGAATGAACGTGCAGACTTCAATTTGTAGTTGTGAGTACAAACTAAACTATAAAGATTGGTTACTGCGACTGTAAAATGTTTTGTTTTGTTTATTTGTCATCATTCACTCTCTACGAAATATACATAAAATTGAATAACAATGGCGATGGGTTGGCGGTTACGTGAACACAGTACGGAGGTGCGGTGTAGGGTAGCGTACAAAACCTGCCAGGAAATGGAACTTGGCTTCTGCAAATCATTCCTATCCTTAGCTTACTTCAGGTTCAGCAGCTTGGAAGATCGTCGGGAGGAGGTAGAATTGATTCACTGGGGCCATCTCCGTTCTCCACCAAGAAAGCCATCTTCAGCCCCCAAGTCGTATGCACCTCCAAATGGCAGTGTAGAAACCAAATTCCTGCATCCATGCATTCGCAAGTCATTATATACACTGCAGTATGATTCTATTCCCTTGTAATTTTTCTAGGTTTCTCTCTCGACTTTGTGCGTGTTACTGCTATGTATGCGATGAGTTTATTAATGTCTGTATCCATGGCTCTGATGCATCCGCACCATGATTAGAAGAGATTGGGTCACCATCATACCACGCTAAGAAGAAATCCAAGCCAATATGGCCTCTATGACCCAGTTGAAGAAGAGATTCGGGCTTTCAATCTTAAAAAAAAAGTTAACTGTAACCCTTTTAAGGAAGGAAGAGAGTTACCACATGTTTACTAATATGAGACAATTAATATTCAATAGTATCGTCTTCCCTTGATTTTGTGTCTGTCTGTCTGTGACATTGTAGCATCAAATCAAACGATAGTGTTATATAATGATTCCTTTGAGCATTTTATCAATCGATCATTCATTTCATGTCCATGAATTGTTTTTCTTAATAGCTCAGGTTTGATATTGAGTGAAAACCTACCTAATCCCCAAATTAAAAAATACTAGTAGTATATAGGAAAGGTGGGTGATGAGTAGATTGAACATGCCTGGATTATCAGCTCTGAATCTTATTGCAGTCCAGCCGGCGGTTGGCACACTGACTGTGTTCCTCTCAACAGGATCAACAAGGTTGAAACTCTCTGGATCCTTCTGGGGATCAAAATTGCCTACTCCTCTTCCAACGGCGTAAAAGTTGAAGCCGTGCAAGTGGATAGGATGGCTTTCCGGTGCTATCATGGTTGTGCCCTGCAGGACAACTTGAACCGTTGAGTTGAATCCTAACCTGTACACTTTTGTGCCGTTGATTGTTTGCATGTTTGCTGGTGGTGTGCCTGTGTAGTTGTAAGGGTTGGGAGGATTCGCAGGGAAATCCTCGGTGTAAACTCCGCTTATGTTGTAGTAATATGCTTGGAGGATGGCAGCTGTTGTGGGCAGGACAAAGGTGACATTGTTGAAATCAGCCACGACCTGGCTCCCATTCAGGCATGTCGGGCAGGGGTTCACACCGATGCCCATGGCAAACATCAGCGAGTGATCGATGCTTTTCGGGACGTTGGCAGGGTATTGCCGGGAGTTAAGGCTTCTCAGGGAGTCCATGAATCTGGTTGTCGCTGGTGTTGCGTTCCGTGGGGGAACTGCAGTAACTTCGGTGGGTGAGAAGGCTTGAATTCCAAGGTAGCGGAGGAGTCCAGTAGCTGTCTGATTGTCTGTGGCGACTGTAGTGTCCATAAAGGGGGAGATGGCAATCAGATACTTGCCCGTTTCCTGGTCTGCTGCTAAAAGGGCATTTGTTGTCTGGCCTGGACCGATGAATATGGTGTCCGTTTTGAAAGGCTTGGTGTAGGAAGCATCAACCTCAACTATGGTCAGCTGGTGCCCTGCTATTTTGAAGAAGAGCTCCTCGTTGACTGCAGCATTGACTATGCGCAGCAAGTATGTCTTTCCATGCTCGACGTGCAGCGTGTAGCCTGTCGGGGCAAGATGGTGAGTGTTTTTTGTTTTTGCAGCAGCAGCCGCCGCCATAACGGGACAAAAGATTTGACTAACCGTTGGAAGAGCAATTTGGAGCTGGTCCCGGACGTCCATTTATAGTATGTGCATCGGATACATTCGGGGCCCTTCCGGATTGCAAGCCCTGGTTGAGCACTGCTTGGATGTCCGACTTCCACCATTCTCCTGTAAGGAAAGAAGTTCGATTCCCAGTACGAAATAAGCATTCATTCATTTATAGCAGAATCTGCACCCACCAACCGACCAACCTAATACTAGTATTTCCTCCTTATCTGGTTTGGGAAACGGATAAAGCGTGCCATGCTTGGGGAAGATGACAATGGCACCGTGGACGGTGGCTCTCTGCCAGTTTATATGTGCATGCCACAGAAGCGTGCCTCTTTGCCCTGTCAAGGTGAAGTTGTAAACAAAGCTCTGCCCTGTCTGGATGGGGCACTGCGTGATGTATGCTGGCCCATCTGACCAACCCGTCCGGAGTTGTCTGACTCCATGCCTAATCAGCCAGAGTGCAGCAGCGGAATCCATGTCATACATAGGTAAACAAACAGTTCAGTTCAGTTCAGTTCAACTCCACAAAAGCGCCTACAATGTAGGAAGTAGGTTAAGCTTTCTCATTGTTAAATCTTACCAATGAATAGTGACATTTTCGTTGACATGATTGACAACCCTCACTATTACAGTATCATCTTCCCGTGCATATAGAGTAGGCCCCGGAAACTTCCCATTCACAGTTAGTATAAGCTTTGATGCGCATAGCCTGGTTATATTCTTCTTCCCAACCTGTGCATCGAAATAAATAAACAAACAAACTAGTGCAAGTTCTTTGAGCAAGAAGCTTCATATCACATGCTTACCTTGAAATTGTAGTGGCGAACTCTCGGCTCAACACAAGCTGTATGGAAAACAAATGCCACCAGCATCAAAGTCAGAGCTCGAAATCCCATCGTCTCACAGGGTATGTTTTCTTCTCCCTACCTCTGTTTACAACATTGTCAGTGTCTGCTTATTTATACATTCCTAAGGGGCGTGAGTTTCTATGATGCTGTGTCATTTTTACTTGGTTAGGTGAATACACTATCCAGCCATGCATTTCTTTTTTACAAACTTAACATTTCTTGCATATTACACAAAGTGGTTATTTGTTCAAACTACAGTTTGATAATGTAACTGATGGGAGAAAGGGCACCCGAAAATAACAAGTGTCACTTCGCTTCTCTGTATATTGATATCCCAGACACAGATTTTTTTTTCTTCTTCTTGTTTTTCTTAGTCATGTTAATTACCGAAGTTGTCGTTTGAGACCTTACTTTAAGTATTTTCCAATCAACCGGCATTAGTCAGATCACAGAAAAACATGTGTGTACATGTATAAGCTTCCAGAAGTGTACTAACTGTGGAAGAGTTGGTGGAGACAAGTGCACTTCTTACATATAGATGGCCTCTCTTGAAAATGCATATATCATCACATTAGTTGAGAAATGGTTTTCATTTTTTCTTTGGTCATATTTTATAGTTTAATGGATTTGAGTCGAAAGACTGGATGAAGTAACAAAAGACGTTGCTATCCCTCGAGTTTGGATGATGCCTTAAGTGCACCCTCAATCCTGTTGATACAAGATTTGTACAGGTATCCTAAGTAGTCTATTATATTGTCTTTGGACATTCCGTTTGCTGGATCTATGTCGTATTTCCAGTCAACTAGAGTGGTGCCATCGCCATAGTCTATGAGCTTTAAGGAGTTTAGAGAACCATCCAAGCCTATGTTACTTTCCTCCATTTGGAAAGTGTAGGTGTGCAATAAAGGGTCGATGAGAATGAGCCTCTCCTTGATCCATGACATGCCCCTGTCTTTCTGTGGGAACATCAATCCTGAGACTAACCTAACATAGCCCGGAATGCCTTCCTGTCCTGACACACTGGTGCATTTTTCGACCATAGGCATCCATTCGTGTAGCCTACTGCTGTGAGAAACTATGCTCCACACTTTTTCTATTGGCGCATTGACGATGGCTTGCACTGATCCGTGCCATTTGCTGTTGCCCACCTTGTTTATCTGTCAAAAAAAATAATAGGGAAAAATAAAAGAGGATGCAAGGTTATTGTCAGTTTTGACAGGGCAAGAGTCAGTAGTTTTATCTTAATCATCTTGGGTTTAGATGATATAATGTGGAAATAATACCTTAAGCGGTTCTTCCTTCTTTTCCATTGACGCAGACAAAAATTGAACCACTTGGAATAGGGTATGTGATGATGATTTTTTCTGGCCTTCTTCAAAGAAATTGCTTCTCTCATGGATCATATTTGTAGGGGATGAGATAGAAACACTTGGAACAATTGCTTGATTGTTCCTAGACTGCTTCTTTGGAATTACAGAACCTAGGAATCAACTAAAATTGGAGTTGGCTGGAAAATATTACATAGTGTTGGATGCATCAAACAATGAAAAAGCCTGGCTTTGATCAGCAGTGCAGCTGATCTGACAATCACAATTACTTGGATCACTTTATGGGATCATCATACAAGTCTGTGTGCTATATATATATATATATATATATTAAGAGAGATGAAGTGTGAATGACAAAAAAGAGTGAAAATCCTTGAATTTGTTTGGTGTGCAGCGGCCTGCTCAAGCTGCAGCTCCAACGGGTTCGCCTACCCGGAGCCTGGATGAACCGTACAGTGTTTCTTCAAACCGAATGATCTCATTCTTGGACCCATAAGCTACTTGGGTTCTGTCGTCGAGACCATCGACGACTATTTCCAGCACAGATTTCTTGCCATCGCTGCTGTGGCCGCCCGCCTTCTCAATCAGGAACCCTAGAGGAGCAACTTCAAACAGCAGCCTCAGCTTGGCTTTTGCTGATGGCGACGCCACATTTGTGAAAATGCCCTTCTCTTTCACGATGATCTGGAAATATTGTTACAACAACGTGTTTGCTTTGCCAGATTAGATAACAAGCAAGCAAGCAAGCAAAGGGTTTGCATGGAGAGGAGGAGTACTGCTAAATAAATGCTCTCACTCTCACCTGATTGACATCGGGCACCATTCCTCCTGTGTATCGCAGGGTGTATTTCTCCCGGACATAGTAGTCAATCAGCTGAAAGCGAACATGTCACACGTATGTATGGACAAAGTTGGCATGCATTTCCTTAGGCACCACAACAGCGTAGGGCAAGGGACGATAGAACAAACCTTGGCGTACTCCGGGTTGTCTGAAGTTGCCCTCAAGTTACCGGGGGAGAACATTTTTCCTTCTCCAATCGATGTTGTATCTTTGACATGTTGCCATTTCCCTGGAAAAGCAAGGAGAATGAATCGGTCAGCACGGCGGTGATAGATGTCTCGGAGCTTTGAAAGTAAGCTCTTGAAGTGTTTGTTTGTTTATGCAACACCCACCTTCATCAAGCAGGAGGAATTCGTGTGTCCCTGGAAGATCTTTGAGTGCAAGAACATACGTAGTTCGAGGCCCAAAAATCCCCATGGCAGCAGCAACCTGGTCGCCCCCGGTTACACCTGTGAGCTTGTCGCCAGGCCATACTCCAAAGATTGTACCGACAGTGAAGTTTGTGTCAACAATGCTGGAACCATCCAGCGGATCGAATGCAACGCTGAAGCCTCCTGCTCCAGAAAGCAGCTTTGTTCAGGTAAATTAGATGCTGTGTTTTTTTCTCATTAGAAGATTACATGAATAAATTCCACTAATATTGCAATGCTGAGGGACAGAGAGACAGACAGACCGACCGACCTTCGACCGGCCCTCCCATGTCTTGAAGCTCGGGGATTTCCTCCGAGCAAGCATACTTGCAGAAGTGAGAGTATTGCAGTGCCTGAAGGAGGATCAACATACCAAAAATATTGCTGAGGTTGTCTTTATATATGTACGTACATATGTAGGTAGGTGTGTGCGCGTGCGCTAACTTCTCAAGTGCTGTAATTCCAAAATGGGGAGGATGAAGGGTCAGAACAGCCAGCCAGCCAACCAACCTCGAACAGAAGCTTGTTGGCGAGCAAATCAACGGCGAGTTGCTCGTCACCGAAAGAGTTGACACACGCAGTTCCTCCGCAAGAAGCTGTCCTCACTTTGAAGGCGATTGTCCTGAGGGCTTCTCCCATGCACGTCATCAGCCTAATCAATCCCTTATCCGATGTCGACTTGGTGAGAAATTCTTCCTGCGATTGAGTAAATAATGGGAACGCTAGTTACTTTTGTCATGTTATCTCAACCCATTCATACTCCTCCTGTTAATTACAAAAAACTGAGACACCAGAAGCAGCTAACCAGACTGTCGCCGATCTCACACTTAGTGACGCCTGCAGAAGAAGAAGAATTCTTGAGCTTGGAAACCTTGAGCGACGATGATCTTGGGACGGCGCGGAGAGAGTCTCCGAATAGTGAGCTCGCCTTTAAACTCTGCAATATATGAAGAAGAAAGAAGAAGATCCTTGTCAGTATCATGAGCATTATCTTTATCTTTGCTAGCTAGGTTCCTTCCTCAAAAAAAACTTTTATGCATAAAAAATAAAAAAATAAAAACTCCAGAACAGAGAGCAGAGCAGAGCAGGCAACCTTTGAGGAGAGAGAGAGAGATGGATGAAGCGGAGAGAGAGCAGTGGAATAATAATATTGGTGCGTAGTAGTAGCAGCAGTAACATTGGTCAAGATTGCGCCTCCTCCTCTTACTCCATGGGCAAAGCAAGCAATGGCACTCTCCATTTGATTTGATTGATCTTGGATCTCGCTTGATTGTTTGTTGCAGGAAAGTGTTAGCGTTTGAGGGGAGGGGAGGGGAGGGGAGGAGATGATGAGAGGATCAGAGCCGCTGCTGTACACTACTACTACTAACTTGAGGGAGGGAGGGGAGGGGATCAGGGGGTTTGAAGATAAGCTGCAGCTGCCTTGCTGACACGTGGCACCCGGTAGTCAATTTCTATCTCTTGGTTAATGAAAGTATCCATTTGTGGCTCTGATATTAATAATGCTATATAGTAGGCTCTAGATAGATATGGCTGGCTGCTGCTGCTCTCTTCTAAGTTCTAACTCAACTAGTCATATATCATCATTTTGTCCGTAGTTGCCAATTTGGTGGAGCTTGGTTGGGCGGAGCAGTTAATTGACTGAAAATTTAAAAAAAATTCACGCGCCAGGTAGGGGTCGAACCTACGACTTTCTGCTTAGGAAACAGACGCTCTATCCACTGAGCTACAGGCGCCATATGATATTAGTTAGTAAAATAATATATATATTAAAGTTTACACTCTCAAATAAGTTTTGAATCACAAAAATTAAAAATAATAATAATATATATATCTATGTATTTTTCGTAAAAATAAATTTGAAATTTTATAAGATTAGTAATATAATTTTCAAAATAAAGTAAAATGAGTGTAAAAAAATATATGAAATTCATCAATAAGATTTATGTAAGTAAAAAAAATAAAAATAAAAAATAGGGAGTATGAGATTTGTATTAATACTTAAATCCACATTTTATTTTATTTTATTTGCAAGTATATGGTAGATGCATCAATTTAGCAGTGATTATAAAAAAAATGTGTTCTTTTAAAGGTTTTACTAAATTTGTATCAATATTTGTTTATATTACATCACATAATTATTTAAATTCAAATATTTTTCTATTTAAATTTCAACATAAAATTTCAAATTCAAAAGTTTTACTATTTAAATATTAACACATAATTCAATCTCTTCAAACTTTTACTATTTAAATCTCAACACATAATTCAAAGTCTCCAAACAAACACACATGTACTTATTGGCATTTGGCGAAACTAGAATCCAATCCACACAAACGAAGGGGCTTAATTGTTAAAAAGTTTAAAATAATACAATTTAAATTAGAAATTGTGAGGTGATTTAAATTAGAAATTGTGTCAAATAGATTTCTTGGGAGCTGAAGATTACAATATGCGTGTTTGTTACAAAAGAACTACTCACCGATGCTTCTCCGACAACGAGAGCATCTGACCGACACAGTCCAGGTAGGGTTCTCTTCCCATGGAGGCGACGGCCATGTTTTTTGTTTGGAAAATATATATATATATATATATATGTAAAAAGTATTGTGAAGGTAAAAAAATAAAAAATTAAAATCCATTGTAAAAGTTGTTTGTCGTTGAATTTTATTGGCCTTGACATGTTATAGAAAAATATAAATGAAGAGCAAATGAAAAACGAAATATTCCAAATGTTATAGAAAATTTTTTCTCCCACTGGACAATTTGTATATGTTTGCATCATGATTCATTAAGCAATATTGACACTAATAAAAGTATCGTCTTCAAGTGCAAATTGCAGTTGCTCCCCTTGGACAATTTGTATCTATTTACGTCAGGATCTGTTAGGCAATGTTGACACTAATAAAAGTGTCAACTTCCAATACAAATTGCAAGGCTTATCGACAAAAAATATATAAATAAATAAATAAAAATCACACATGTTAAGCTAAAATTAATTATTGTTCCTATAGAGTAAAGTTCCACAATTGAGTGACAAATAGGAAATTTATGAAAAAAGCTACAATCCTCACCACGGAATAGTGTACCGGTTTGCTTCCTCTGTTGTCGCGAGGGAGCTCTCGGCGAGGATCGATCCATTCAGTAGATTAATCCCCTCCCCGCAGAGCTCAATTAACAAACAGATGATGATGATGATGATGATGATTTATTCAATACAACACCACCACAGTAAATCCCGTCATGTTTCATCCAAGTTTTCAACGGGCATGGCCAAAAAAAGAGCAGAATGAATAGAGCAGAGCAGAGCAGTCAGCCAGGCTTCTGCACGCACATACGCAAGAACAGAACATGCATAAATAATAAATAGATGTGGGGTGAGTGAGTGGGTGAGTGTTCGGACCTCAACAATTCAATTCAATTAAACTACAACACGCAACACAATTATTATCACAACAACAATAATCACAGCCTAAGAAAGGGATCAATCTCGTTCACATTCATTTATAGATGATGATGTCTGATACCAAACCATAAAGGAGGCTGCTGCGGAAGGAAAAGTGTCAAACTAGGAAGGACGAAGACAAGTGCAAGTGCTTACATATCATCAACTCACGAATCTTGTAAGTCATTCATGTTAAGGGGCACGACGCTAGGCGGATAGTCAGTCCGTTGTCCGGCAAATGAATAGTACGCCAGTATGTGGGCGGGATCCTCCACCGGTATCACCATTTGTCTGCCCTCATCCTGAACAAGGTACTGCCGAGCAGGTATCAGCTCGACGTTCCAGTTTGGCCTCACCATGGGCATCAGGTCTCGCAGGTTCCCGGACGACCGGTACCCTTGCACCCACAGGTACCTCAGACCAGTCAGGTTCCGAGCAGCAGTTGCCAGAGCATGCTCGCTGAAACAGCACCCCCTCATTTCCAGCTTCCGGAGGGCGGGGCAGCCTCTGGAGAAATCAATCAGACCCCTATCGGACTCCCCGATATACCCCAGAAGCATCCATTGTATTCTGGGGCTGTACTGTCCTATGTAGTTCAGGCCCACATCCGTCAGCCCTCCTGGCCGCAGATACAATGCAAACCTCTTCAGCTTGTCACACCCTATCAACAACGATCGAACTCCATTGTCCAGAGGCAAATCTGTGATTGCTGCCATCCTGTCAAGTAAAACCAAACGGAAGTCGTGTAGATTTTTCGAATATCTACCAATACACTCCAAGGCTGCGTTTGTGATATCCGACACATAAACTACCAAGTATTCCAGTTCTACACATCCTAGTGCCAAAGAAATTAACCCTCTGTGGGTGACCACACCTTCGACATCTTCTATGTCCTGGTCGTCAGCTGCACGCTCTACCCTAAGTCTTTTCATTTTCTTACAGCAGCGGGCAACTACCTCCAGTCCCCTATCCCCAATAACATTCCTTACCTGTTGAGTGAAGATTAGGATTATTGACAATGTAATCGAAATTGAGAAATTTGCATTAACTCTTTGTGCGCTTAAGAGAGATTTTATAAAAGCATGAATATATCTACCTCAAGGAACTCCAAGTTTTGGCATCGTTGTAGCAACTGACAATGGCCTTCAGTGTCAAGCATAGCATAAAGGAGATCCAACTGTTGAAGCCTCGAAGCAATGGGATGAAGAATGGGCACTTCAGCATTCCCCAAATATGTGATACCCAATCTACACAATCTGGGTGGAAATTCGACGGAAGCATACTTCTGCTCATCGAATAGATTCTCACTAAATGAGCCACCACCAAACTCTTCCAAAGAAGTGGCAGCTCCAAAGAATCCAATAATATCTGAAATGTCACAATCACTAATTTTCACGGATTTCAAAGATGGGCATCTTCTAGCTATCAATTCAATGTCATTCCATGTAACTGTTGAGAGATCAGTCGTGTAAAAGTTCAAGTTTTCAAGTACTGTATTGTTCAAAGCAAGCTGATGCAGCCATTCTCCATCGTTCTCAGTTATCAAGCTTTCTTCAATATCTAATGTCCTCAGCTTCCTGCGACGTATCAGGGCAAAGATGTTCAGAAGTGAAAAAGAATGATGCAAAAACCTAACATTTCCTCAGTATGGAACAGAAGAGATATGCAGCGACGACCCATAATTCAATTGTCTTCTACAAGAAGACAATTTAAATCTTGATATTATGTTTTAATATTCCGCAAAGCACCTAAACATGTGATCTTCTCAAAAGACCACAATCCTTTTTTTATAATTTCATGACTTCTTTTGTCCTTTTTCTCACTCACCACTTCAATCACGACTTTTACAATGAAGTAATTGCATGGCCCTGTAAAAACATGAATCTAGTGGATATGTAAATTATTATCTTGTGAATGGATCAATATAAATGGAAGAATGAATACAACACTAGAACAATAATTATATTACATCTAATATGCTATTAATAAGTTAATGATTTATGCATCTAGAATTCTCCTTGTCCGTGCGTGTGTTGGGTAATTTATAATACTCTGCTCTGAATAAATCTCTTCATGGGACATGTAAAAAATAAGCCAAGTAGGGAATTCCATGAACTAAACTAGACCCACCCATAATGCTTAAATTACAAAACATCCAACAATCACAATAAAAGTCATAAAACCACTATTGCACTTCAAAATATTCCAGTGGCTTGGCTTAAGTTTTAACATGTACATATTTGCTAGCTATCATATCTACTACATAAACTATGTCAGAATACGGTGAAAATGACTGCAACAACATTTAACACAAGATATGTTTGGTTATCAATGATTTCTTTACCTTGGATGATCCAGTGTCTGGTGTAGCAGATGAAAATTCATTTCATACATATAGCACTATATCTCCCGCAAATCATGCCACATGAATACTTATATCTTCCCTAATATCAAACAGATTACGATAATGTACATATCCTAAATCAATTATTAAAAACTTTATAATCTTTTAAGATACAAGTGCATCCATTTATCCAGTTAAACACACACACACGCACACAAACAAACAAACTACGAAAATTTTATCTGAACATCTAAAAGCAGATGTATACAGAAATCAGAATCAAAACACACACAATCAATTGCCATCATTTTATTTCAGGAAGTATTCAGCATGTGAGAGAGCCTATGTAAGGATATATGATTCACCATTATACATGCCAATGGCAACGAAATCAGATTTCCAGCATGAACCAAAGTAAATTAAAACAATGCAAGTTCTACAGAAGCCAGCAGATTTGTATGTTTCAACAGATCAGAGAACCCATTAAATCATATGACAATGGCAGGAACATTAGAAGAAGAAATCTAGCACCAAAAAGAAAACAAAATAAAATCATATTCCATGAGTTAATAGAGCACAGCCGGGGGATCGGATCACCACTTGACATCCAGATAACGGAATTATATCATACCTAAACATTTAGCTAATGAGTTAGAGATGGCTAGTCAGGAGGCCAAATTTTGGAGCATGTAAGGACAAAATGATAACCAATATCAACATACTAACACATGCTTTGAATCCACTGAATCGAACTTAGTGCATCATGAAACAGAATATATATTATATGCTCTGCTATCAATAATAGTGATTTAATAAGACTCTTCTCGTTACTCATAATGTATAAACCATTTTCAGTAAAGAAAAATGTGGAACTGAAGGACAGAAAATCAATTATGTAACCACAAGTTCTGTTCCACTAAGAGAACCCATGGTTCGGCTTCACTAAGCCAATACTGACAACAAGCCAAAAATTTCTGGAAGTTGAAGATAAAATTTATAAGGCGTAAAGGATCATCAAAAGCCAAGATGATTCCAGATGTAACATTAAGACAGCATATATCCAAACATACAAAAAACCAGTAATTGATCAGATAAGAATGGCAGCAAAACAAAGCATAAAACAACTGAAATATAATTGTTCTGCTTCACCATGAAAAGACGCACCATCAAAAATAAAATAAAATTTAAAAGCCTCAAAATCTGCAAAAAGTAAGTGAAGAAAGGAAAGAAAACATGGAGGAAATGCCGCCAACACACACAATCATTTATCCGAAACCCATGATACAGATATACGCGCACTCGGGCGGGCGAAAACACACGCAAAAATAATACTACTAGGAAGAACAGAAAAGAGTCATACAGTTTATATCTTCAAACCTAAAACATTAAATCATTCATATGTTAAATTCATTGCTCTTTTATTAGCTACCTGCAGAAGCGTCCAACGTGCAACAGCCCGTCCGTAGAGAAACCCGAACACTTGTCCAGCTTCAACACTTCAAACACACTCCCTGCAGCGGACTTGGCCAGCAGCTCCAGATCCGAATCCTTCACAATCATACGCCGGAAATGGAGCGCCTTCATTTTCTTGAAAGACCTTATCACTTCCTCCACCCAAGGCGTCACATACCCGCCCCAGTCCTCCGCAATAAGGTTGAACATGGCGGCGCGTGGCTTGCCCTTAAGCTTCAGCGACTCCAGCTGAGGGAAGCGTCGCCACAGCCGCTGCGGGGTGGCGCTGTAGCAGAGCGCAATCGTCACATGCTTGCGCGTGAGCGCGTCGATCTGGCACCATCGCTTGCACACCAGCGATACGGCGGCTCGATCCCTGGGCTCCACCACGTACGGTATCACGCACTCCCATATCTCGTAGTCCTCGCTCTCACTGCCCGCCTCCATGCTCCTGCTGCTGCTGCTGCTGCTCCCGCAACCACCGTTGACCCTCTTGCAACTAGATTCGTCCATCCTCTCACAACGGGCCTGCAGAATTAGCACCTGAATGAAATTGGAGCATTAAGTCCAGTAGCCAACAAATTGCATGGTCGAAGGCAATCAATCCAATAAATTGATCGGATCTAATCTGATCTGATCGGATCGGATCGGAGGAGGAACCAGAATTTGGGATTATAGGGTTTTGGAAGCGGACAAAAATGGATTCCAAGGAAGTCCAACCAACGAATGAAACTGATCCAAAACTCAACTGCTATTTTGTAAAATAATCATTATTCTTTTTATGATTTTTTTGTGACTATTGTTTGTTTATTTATATATTTTTGGAGGGGATGCTGTCTGCTGCGATTTTTTGTGCTGATGCACTCACTGTTTCAGGTGATTTTTTACTTCATCCGGTCGATAGTATAGATGGCCAATCTAATTGACTTAATACAACAATTTTCGTCCTGAGCCCCCTTTTTTTTTTTCTTTTTTTTTTATATTTAAAATTAGATAACGTAAATTATTAATAATAAATTACTCTCTTTAGTCTGTTCATTAGATTTATTTAATTATTAATTTTGGCAAAGTCAATACTTATTTACAATAAATACTACGAATTTTATTGCATTATCTCTCTTCATTTACCTATCACTTTTTTGATAAAATATTTATTTTTTTTAATTCTCGTGCCGAGCCCAAATAGACTAATTTTAATGGACGGAGAGTATAATTTTATTTTTTATATTTTTATATAAGTAATATTGTTGGTATTTTATATTTTTAGAATTATATTACTATAAAATATATATATAATATAAATATTATTTTGTAGATAATAAAATTTTATATAATATAAATATATAAATATATATATATGTATTTATTTATAATTAATTTAAAACTAATTTTAAAAAATGAAAAGTTTTAAATATTGATAGAAATATTTGTTTATTGAGGAGGTGAATAAAAATAAAGAGGTTTTAAATGGGGCATATGTATAAAAAGTTAAAAATTTAATTAAATTAATTTATATTTGTTAAAAATATTTAAAATAAATAAATTTATTAAAAATATAAAAAGTCATCTTTTCTTGGACAGACAAAAAAGAAAAAATAGATCATCTTGACAGATGTAATACAAAAGTATTAATATACCATTTATTTTATTTATATTATATACCCCTTCGGCAAGGATGAGCCTTTTGTTAAGGACACAGTATATAGGCAATATAAATTAATGGGTTATTAACAATAAATTATAATAGTGGTATTTTAAATATTTTTAAAATTATATTTCAATAAAATATATGTAATATGAATATAATTTCGTAGATAATAAAATCTTATCTAATACAGATATGTAAAAAATATATTTATCTATTTATAATTAACTTAAAACTAATTTTATAAAAATTGAGAAATATTAAATATAGATAAATGGGTTTTGTTTAAGAAAACGATATAAATAAATGGGTTTTGAGTGGTTCTATGTTTAAAAAGTTAGGAAATTTAATTAAGTTTATTTATATTTATTAAGTATGTTTAAGATGAATAAATTTATTAAAAATATAAATATGTTATCTTTTATGGACGGACAAAAAAGTAAAATAGATACTTTTTATAAATTTTGACGGTGAAAAAGTATAATTTAATATTTTTAATTCTATAAAATATATTGAAAAATATAATGCATTTCTACGGTGTGAATGTTATTAATAAAAATATACAATGAATCTTGAAATTGTATGATAAATGTATAATAATTGAAAATAAAAATTACATTTAGTATGCAAGTGAATCACAATTGAATATGCAAGTGAATCACAATTGAATATAGCCCCGTACCACCAAGTTGTGCATGTGTACCTGCAGACAACAAGAAAACAAGGGAAATATCAAAAAAAATTTACCTCAATCTACGACCATTTTTAATCCATCAACTTCGTTTATCTAATTTTAACTCCAAATATTGAGTTGCTACAGTAATTTTACTCCAATTATACTTTCATTTTTCATTATTATTCTTCAAATATTCAATTTTTCCTATTATTTTAAACAATTTTTTATTTTTATAATTTAAAATAAAATTTTAAAAAATTTTAAAAAATAAAAATTAAATTTAAAAAACAAATTTATAATTTTAAAAATTAAAAAAATTAATATATATATATATATATAGCAACGCAAAAAATTGGATGTGGGTTAGAGACAACCCACCCCAAAAATGCCAACCAGATGCCCTAAGACAATCAACTGTATAGACATATTCTACTAAAATTATGTTCCTGAGCCTCTTGTGCCAACAGAACTAATTTTCAATTAAAATGTTCAAGCAAATTAGCCACTATTTTCTTAAAACTAAAAAAAATTGTTTAGATCATTTATGGTAGGACGAAGATAACATCAACCATCTACAAAAAGGTACATGATAGTGTTGACATACTGACACTATAAAGTGTGAGTATAAAATTGAAGGATGGTTCTAATAAAAATAAAATTGATAAAAGAATATTGAATAAATTAATTTAATACTTTTCGGTTCTCATTCAAATATTATTAAGGTGGTTTGAGATTTCAAACCATTTCTAATTGATTCTCTATTTTTAAAATTTTAATTTTATTTCAACTTATTTTATTTTATTTTATTTTTTTTTTTTTGCAAAATAACATAAAATTCTCACGTGGTTTGTAGAATTTGCTAAAAATTTTATATGCTCCGAAAATTTCATAAAATATACATGTGGTTTCTAAAATGTTCACATTCGCCTCCTTCTTTTAAATTGCACTAACGGTATTAAATTTTTATACACATTGACTGTTATACCCTATTTAAATTATATTTCTTCTTCCTGTTCGTCCCTACACCATCTTCTTCTTCTCCATTTTTTTTCTCTCTTTCCTCTTTCCCTTATCTTTTTCTTCCCTCCCTTCAGGATCTTCTTCTTCTTTCTCTGTTTACATTATTCTTCTTCTTTCTTCACCCCTCCTCTCTCTCTCTCTCTATATATATGTATTTTTGTAACTTTGTGTATAAAATACACTTTGCAACAACACTCATTATTCTAATTACATTGTAATATCAAATTTGAGTGTAATCTAAAAAAAAAACATATCATAAATCCTCAATTAAAAACACACACAAAAATAGAATTTGGGAATAAAAAATCCCGACTGATAATCGGACCTATAACAACTCAGAACCAGATCTAGATGGGCAGCATGAGAGAGTTGATTTTTGGGGCTGGGCGAAAAACAAGAATATGCTTGTGGCGGTCGGACTCGGCGCGGGTGGTGGAGAGAAGAGGCTGAGGCAGTGACTAGAATAGGGAAGAACGAAATCTGACTTATCATCAGAAGACAAAATCCAATGAGACTTAAAATCCCCAAATTCAGGCACAAGAGGAGAAGAAGGATAATTAGGTAAATTACTGGAGAATGAAGAGTAATTTTGTAACTTTCCTTCATCTATTATATAAATTTTCAATAATACACACAGTGATCGCGTCGTACAATACAATCTCCATTAAATATTAACGGTGGGGTATTTTTTTGCTACATTTTAGAAATTACAAGTAGATTTTATAGAATTTTCGGACCACATGAAATTTTCAGCAAATTTACCAAACCACATGGGAATTTTATGCTATTTTATCTATTTTTTTTTAAAAAAGAATATTATATATATTTAAGTAATTATATAACTTTATTCAATTTTTATTTTTTACATATTAACTTCAATTTTTTTAAAGTAAATGTAAATTATACAATATCGGTAATTTATTTATTGTTGCTTTTAAATATTTAGAAATATTTATAGTTGTATTTTATTTCAATTATATGTTGTAATATTTATGTGAAATATTATATTGTATAATATTTTTGTAATATTTATATGTAATATTATATGGTGTAATATTATATATTGTGTAATAATTTTTTTTTAAAAAAAAAAAAAAACTCAAACAAAAATGTATACTCTTTTCGTCCCAGAACTATAGTATGGGTTGTGTTTGACACGGAATTTAAAGAATATTGATATTATATTGGTAGTCGGTAAAAAGTACGAGTAAAAGATTTTTTGCCCTTGTGAGTGTATTAGTGTAAAAATTAGTGGCAATTGGGTAACAATAATGAAAAAATAATTGTAATTTTATAGTAATATGGTTATGTATGAAAATAAGACTATTGTTTCGAGGCGGACAAAAATAGTAAATAGAACAATTGTTTTGGGACGGAGGGAGTATAAACCAACCGGATGCTCATTCAATTACTACATAATAATTGAAAATTAAATAAATAATACCAAATATATATATATATAAGAAAAATTAAAATACAAAATTAAAAAGTCTTCCTCAAAAAATGGAAGAGGCAATTGTGTTACTCCAAATTCGAAAAAAAACCTGAGGAATAATGTAGATTTCTCCATTTCTCAGAAAAAATAAATAAATAAATATAGAGTCAACAAGAGAATTTCCTCCAAGAAATTGGAGAAATTTTTCATTTATAGAGAAGGTTGGAGAAGCTTTTATGAAAGAAGTGGAGGGAGTAGAGAGAATTTCTTTTTTTAAAAGAAATTATGTTTTGTCCAACTTTTTTAAGGAGACTAGTGGAAAGGAAAAATAAATTGTATCAATTTTTTCTTCTTTTCAATTAGAAAATTTTGAAAAAGAAAAATTTTATTCAAAATATTTTTTTCTTTATTACATATTTATACATTTATATTTAATTATATATTTTAAATTTTAAAATATTTATTTATTTTATTTTTTATTCTATCTAAATTAGAATATTACTCCATCCGTCTCATATTTATATAACCATTTGTTTTTTAAATAGAATTTTATAAATATTAGTATCATATTGGAATAATGTAGAAATAAAGGTAAAAAAACTAAATTAACTATTGTATGATATAAAGGTAATGACATTTGTGAAATATATTGTAAATTGAAAGAGTATTTGTAATGTTAGGTAGATAGTACAATTACTATAAAAAAAAATGAATACTTTGTTATGGAACGGACCAAAATAAAAAAATTGATAAATTGTCGAGGGAGGGAGGGAGTAATATATATTGTACATATATTTAATTATATATCTATAATATACTCTATAATTATATCTTATATTTTTTAAAATCAATTTAATTATAATATATTTTAAAGAAAATTATATAACAAATATAATTATAAATTACTATAAAATCTTTTAAATAAATATATTTAAATTACTTAAATAATAAATTATTATAATTAGTATTAATTAGATCATATATATCTATATTTTAGTTTCAATAATTAACTTAATCTGTATAGTTTATATATTTTTATGTTACCATTTTTAAATAAGATTATGTATATCTATATTTTAGTTTCAATAAATAATTTCGTCTATTATTTTTATTTTTGTCTATTTCACTTTATTTGTAAAATGATTATACAATTTAATTATATTTTAAATTTCACAATGAATAATTTTTTTAATTTTAATTAAATTAATTAATTACTCAATTTTAATCCAGAATTATTTATATTATATAATAGTTATTTAATAATTATATTTATCTAAATTTCTATATATATACTGTAATGTAAAATGAACATAAAAGATGGGATGGGGAGAGTACTTTATAATACTTTATTGATAAATGCCCAAAAATTTTATTTAAAGATATTGGCTTTATTAAACTGTGGTAATACAAGCCTTGGTGTTAGGAGGCAAAAATTTGATCAAAAAACAATTTTAAGAATCTTTTTTTCTTATAAATTATTAAGCATTAATTATTTTTTTAGTTAGTAGAATATAAGCATTTCGCTCTCCTTTCACATCTTTTGAACCACAAGTTAATTACATCTCTAAAAATAGTGCTAGAGTGAATATCATTAAGATATATAAGAGTCATAACATTGAAACAAGTAGATTTAGTGAATAAATGTATGCATGTTCTAAATAAAATTTGTTTTACATATAATTTGTGGACTTCTATAGCCACATATGATTATATTTACTTGACAGTGCACTATATTGGCAATTATTGGATATTACCCAAAAGAAAATAATTAAATTTTTTATATACCACCACATCATTTAACATTATTTTATGTGTTTAGATTTGTAGCTTGGCTTTGAGTTTGGGCATTAAATATATATATATATATATATTCACTATTACATGAGATAATTCATCTACAAATGATGTATTTGCTGAATTTTTTGGGGGCAGATTTTTTTTAAAATGTACGTTTATGTTGTGGTAAATTTTTGTATGTTCGGTGTTGCCATATTATCAATTTTATTGTACATAAACGGTTGAAGAATATTGATGAATCAATTAAAAAGATTCGTGAATCTGTCAAATATATCAAAGGGAGTTAAGTACGGAAATATAAGTTCTGAGAATCTTTTAATTAATATTCACTTGATTTTGGGACAACATTACGACAAGATGTGCCTGCTAAATAGAATTTTACATACTTGATGTTTTCATTGTTTTGTATTATAAGTTTGTCTTCAATCACTTCAGGTTGAATAATTCTAATTTTAAATTTTAAGTATTGTTTAATATCCGAAAAGTAGTGAATATTGGAAAATTATGTTCCTTTTAAGGGTTTTTGGTGATGTACCAAACTTATTTTTTGGAGTGAAATATCCTAATGTCAATATATATTTTTCTTTGGTTTTCAAGATTGAAATCACATTGTGTCAAGGATTATGTCATGATGATGAGTTCTTAAAGACGACGGCATCTCATATGTTTCGAAAATTTGACAAATGTTGAAGTAAGTATAATGTTTTATTTGCTATTGTTATGGCCTTTGATCCAAGATTTAAATTGAGTTTTGTAGAATTTTCTTATTTTAAACTCTATGAGCAAGATCATACAAGATTTTTAAAAAGTGAAGAATAAATTGTTTTTCGGTACATAAATTTTTTTAGTAAGTCTAGTTCTTGTACATAAACATAGTATTGTAAATGTTAATGTTTTTGTTGTTCATGAATTGATATTGTTGTTGGTGCCGATGTTTAGTATTGCGAGTTGGTATTGACGAATTTTCAATGATGTTCTTTCAATATTATTGTTGTGACTTGCTGTTTAGTGTTTAAGTTGGTATTGATGAATTGATAATGTTGATGATGTTGTTGTTTGTATTTTTTACTATTTATGAATCCATGTTTATGTTTGTTGGCTAATTATGTGTGATATTGTTATTCATTCTAATTTGTTTTTTTTAGATAAGAATAACATTTTTGGGTGAATTCATTTGAGATTGATAGATTTTTTATTATACACATAGTTCAACCCGACCCGAAAATACAAATTGACACTCTTACACCAACCCACAAGGATATGGAAACCGATACTAATGATGATCACATCATTAACCAAACTAAACCAAACCACATCCAATGATTAAGATTCTATTCAAACAACACTATTAATGTAGTCACAATTTTTGAAAAGATATTAACATTAAATATATTTTTTTTCTTAGAAAATATCATTTCACATATAAATTTTTTACTATTTTCAAAACTTAAAAATTCTTCAACCTCTATGAAATGATAGTAACATTCATTCAGAATGTTAAATTTTTAGGTGAAACAAACATTTAAATAATTTAAGTATTAAAGTCATAAGTGTCATTTAAATCATCCAATATTCATTAATGGGACAGGACGTGACCACTTTGAGTTGTGAGGCACGCACAATGTACAACAATAAAACTAAACGTGTCACTAATGGATTTTAATAGTAGAACAAAATCTGAATTATTACTACACCCTCCATAACTGAAATTATATTGAGGTGGAGCTGAAGCTGATTGATTACAATGAGGCGGCAAAAGCAGACATCCATCCGGAGCTTTTCTAAACTGCCCCCTCCCATACACATATACGTAAAAGAAAAGCCCAACATTTACCACAAGGCAAAATTTTCCATGTCGACGATCTAGCTATCATTATTACTATTACTATTCATCTCATCGGGGGTAGAAGAAGAATCAGTGTTCCATTTAGGCTGGTGACGGTTTACATTTTGATTGAACAAGTAGTTCTCTTGCTGAATGCCGCCAAGGAGGAATTCCATGGGATCCACCACATCTTGGGTTCCTCCGCTATAAAGGGCTCTGCTGCTGCTGCTTCCAGTGTTGTCACTGCTCAAAAGGGAAGGAAATGCCACCACCGGGTTGGACATCGAACTGCTAATAAGCATTCGGAGCGTCTCTCTAGCGCTTTTTTCAACCATTGATTCAGCTGAGGAAGAAGGGCGGTCAACATTGACGGGTGGGATTACAGTGGACATGGCAGTGGCAGGTCCGCCACTCACCAAATAGCCTTGCCCAGAGGAACACACATCAATCACTGGGACGTGAATAATCGGATCACACACCAAAGGGGTGAATGTCGGTATCTGCTGCTGAGAAGTGCACAGCAACGACGGCAGCTCAGGAGGGAAATCTATAGGTGGGATCCCGTCTGCCAGGTTTAGCAACGGCTTCTTTGATGCCAGATAAACAGATAGAGGAGGAGGCAGTGATGGTGGTTCGTACGAAGGAGGAGCAGCTGCGAGGGATAGCTGTGGAATTTCTAATGTTGGTGTTACAGGAGGGCACCAGCAGTACTGAGGAGAAATGGGGGGAGGAGGGAATTGCATTGCCTGACCTGCTGCATGGGGAAGCTCCGTGGCGGACGATGATTTCTCCAAGAAACTCAACACCGCCAGTGGGTGATGATGATGAGCAGTAGTCCCATTGCTGTCAGATGGATAATCAGTGCAATCCGATGATGAGGAATCGGAAATTCCAATGAGCTCTATGGATGAAATATTGTGTGGAGGACCATCTTTAGAAGAACCTGACCTGAGGAGGATTGAACTGTCCTCATAGGTAAGGTTTGCCTGCTGAAAATGTGCAATCTTCTGACAGATGGACGATGATGATGATATAATTCCTGCAGAATCGTGTTGGTCGTCTGAGAGGCCTACATGAGCACTAGTAGCATGCATCGATCCAGCAAGATAAGCTCGAAAATGAGTAGCAAAACAGTTGAGGCGTGAATCACAAATTCCAGTTAATTCAGCAAGTGAAGGTTTCTTAATTAGCAAAGCCTTCATCTATGTATATACATATACAGATAGACACAAGAAAGATAAAAGGTGCATTAGGAATTTCTCTGACTGACTGACTGACTGAATGAATAATAACATATAAGCAGACACACAGCTTGAGTGTTGAGAATCTTACCTTTCTTAGCAATTCAGTTCCCAAAAGCTTTGATTTTTCAGAGCACCAAAAATAAGAAACTAACCCATCCGAAGCCTTAATAAAGAAAGACCTCCCAGATTTATCCGCCAAGATCTCTTCAATTTCAATCTCATTGCATTGGGCCTCAGTGCTTAGTGTTGCTAACCGCTCAATGAAGCCATCATCTCCATTAAATGATATGCGCAAATCAGAAGATGGTAAAAGAGTGACACATAAATTCCCCCTGAACAAATTATAAAAAATAAGATGTTGAGAAGATGAACAAATAATATAAGCAAGATCAATAGTAGGTTTTAAGTCTATGAAAGTCAGTCAAGAAAGTTATTTTGTCCTGGTCTCCAACTATTATGACACAATGACAAAGGACAAAACATCCTAGTTTCAAGATACATTGGATGAGCAAATAATGTAATGTAGCTAAATATTTCATCTATCACAGACCCTATAGGTGATGCAAATTCCAGAAAGTTTTAAAAAAAAATTAAAAAAAAAAAAAAAAAAAAAAAAAAGTATATAAAAGATTGAAAAAAAAAAAAAAAAAAAGGAGAGAAGAAGAGAAGAAAAAAAAAGAAAAGAAAATCCCTAAATTCTTGTTTCAATGGGATGCATTAACTTTTGTGCACTTCATTTCCACAGCTATGTATTAACAATAAACTTTTTGCATGTCCTTATGCCATATGAGATTCCTGACAAAATACTCTCTCAAAAGCCCCCAACATAATACTTCTTCATTGCAGAAGTTTGATCAACCAGAAGCCAAGGAAGAATAGAGTTAAAGTATATGAGGAATTTGAGCATGAAGAGTAAAAAACATCAAACTCAAGCATGGATGACAAAGGAACATTAGAATAGAGGGAAATAATTAAATGTAATTGTTTCTTCAGAGTCATAATTGTATTATGTAACTCAGGTAAGAGTCCACGGACGCCAAAAATTGATGTTCACTAAATCCATCTACAAGCACCCAAGTTTGTGAAATTATAGATCAAAGGTTCCAAGCATGAGCCTAAATCTTGAAAAATTGGAAACGGTAAGCATGATGAATATTTGCTAATTTCATTGAAACAGCAAATCAACATATAAATAAAATATACTATAATTTAGAACATTATTAGGCACCAACAAACAGATAAGGCACACTAATATGGCATGCGGTAAAACATGACACTAGAAGTGTAGAGTATATACAATAGAATTCATACAGTAGACATATTGATTCAACAAAGCAAAAGAAAGCCGGCAAGGCATGATGTAATGCATAATCATAGGAGCACGAAGCTACCTTTACTTCTTCTTAATTCAGAGATCATAATAGTATACGCCCAATTTACCTACAAGTAAAAAGATATATTCACTTGGAAGGATGGAACACGCTACCGGTAACAATATATATACATTTATACATCAAAAGATATACAGCTACAAACAGAATTATGTTAATCAACCCATCAAAATAGAAGCAAAACGTAAGCAGGCGACATCCACTTCATATCATTGAAGGAATAGAGTAATAAACTGGAAAACATATTAAACTTGAAAATTCATATTTTGATATATCAATGCCACCAAGTAAGAGAATCTGCCAGAGTCTCATTATACTATATCACGAGCATATGTACCACACCAACCTTCCCAGGTTTCTTGCTATGCCACCTCCTAGCTATCAAATCAAGATGCAGGGATCTAAGACAGAATCCAGCATGTAGTGTCGATCAAGGGTTGATCTATTTATTTCTGCAATTCACGCATAACACACTCAAAATATGAACCCTAAACAAGTTTAGGGATCAGATATTATCATATAACACCAAAATCCTGACAATCTCCTAGCAGGCAAGAAAACTATATATTATCAAAGGTTGCCATTATTATATAGAATCAAAGCTCTATCAAACCAAAATATGTATGAACAATTAATAAGTTACAGAAGATAACATACTTTTTAAAGATGTGAAAAGCACAATAACATTGAAAGAGCACAAACAAGCAAGATAATCAAATATGAGGTTAAACATAACCAACGTGTCATATATATTCACAAGAAACAAGGACTGAGGCAATAGACTACACAAGGACTGAGGCAATAAGCCTAGTAACCTCTATCAACCTCTCCTGTAACCTGTCCCCATATGGTAGGAACTGAATGACTTCCTATTTGCCCTTGAATCCAGAAAATGTGATTTTCTTTCCATAGTCCTGAAGATGAATTTATATCGCCGTATATATCCAAAACCTAAAGACACACAGTCCCGCACACACATAGAGAGAAAGGCGGTGGTGTTTGTTATTTCATTAATAGCTTTTAAGAGGTGCAATCCACCTATACTGCAGAACTCAGGCAACAAAACTACCATACAAGAAAATGTCCCAAAATATGTATACAATAATATAAATAGAACCCTTGCTAATATACATACATGTCCATGTCATCATTCAATAAACACATCTATAGTTGTTTGCAGCTATTACCTTACAGATGTTGGGAAAAGGAGTGTTCCTTGCTTGTTGATCTTTCCAACCCGAGTAGAGACAAGAGGAATGCACAAGCACCTGGCTAGCATTCCAACCTCGGCTGGTTCAAAGTGCTGCTCCATAAGCAAAGTAATTAAGAGGATACCATTAAACACAACAACTAGTCCTCGACCTATAAGCAAATCCACTATAGTTTCAAGACAGAAAATGTCAAAGACCGATAACTTTGTTAAATTCCCCCGTCAAACCACTTAAAAATGGAAAATAGAAAATAAAACCCAAACAAACCATTCCGATCAATATAAAGGGAAGCGGATTATTTATACAGAAACCAAAGCTGAAGCAAAGAATATACCAGTTCTTGTTCAACCAAATAAGTGACTGAAAATAAACAACTAAAGAATACAACACGGATATTTACCTGACTTAGATGTGCCAGCAATGGGTCTTCGGCGGCATCGGTTGACGTATTTAGCTTCAGTAGAGGCTTCAACCTCTCATCGGCCCGGCACGCCCCCATGACCTGCAGATTCAACGCCCGAAGCCATTTATGAACACCATCCTCCCTATCGCTCCTCTGCAGAAGCAGATCTCCATCCCCATCCTCCACAAACAATTCCGCTAACCTCCGCGTAACAGATTGATTCGCACTCACCGACGCCTTATCGACGCTCGAAGAAACGTCTACCATATCCTCCTCATCAATTATCTGATCCAACGGATCCACATCACCGATCCATTCACCGACGGCCGGTTTCCGTTCCTCTGAATTAACCATTTCACAAATCTCAATATATTCCTCAATCAATCAAATATATATATATATGTACTATTCGGAGATCAATCGAAATTATAGAGATAAAGAAGCCACAATTCCACCAGACGAACTGATTATAATAGAAAAAACAAAAAAAAAAAACAAGGAGGATTCTCCAAAGAGAACGCTAGGTAGAAGGAAATATCCCCAAACGACTAATCAAAGCCAGCAATAGAATCGAATATGGACAGATCGGATCGGATGTCCGGCGTTCAGTTACAATTTGAAGGCAAGATGGACGTGAAAGTTTCATTCAAATCGCATACAATGATCCCTGGAGTCCGGAATACACGTCACCCACAAATCATCTTGTGGAGCCCACCGTGGACCAATGGCCAGGCTAGAATAGATTGACATGTCATCAATCACCGCCTCTGCTATTATTTTTTGCTAATAATCTTACTATCTTCTCACCGCGAATCTATTCATTTATTTTTGCATAATAATTTTTAATAGTCCCTCATCCAGCTCATTAAATATCCTATTTTTTTTATAAATATCTCTATTTTACATCACATCATTATTTTTATACCAAAAAAATAAGATAAAAATATCATTTCATTACTTTTACCTACACACTATAATTAAAATACTATTATTCCTTAATCTCAGCGTCAAAAATAAATATATACTTTTAGCATGGACAGAGGGAGTATTAATTATTATATTAAAATATAATACAAATAAAAAAATGATAAAAATATTTTGATAAGTGTCTTATACTAATGTAATAAAATTTGTAAAAAAGATTATACAAATATAAAAATATTTTTAAGCTGTAGACAGAAATAGTATTATTTTTTTTAGCAAAATTTTTTATATTTACTATTTAGAATTTGTATTTTTTAAACAAAAAATAATTTTTTTAATAAAATATTATATTAAATATTATTTTCATATCAAATTTAAGGGGTGTATTCAATATAAATTTTGTAGATTTTGTTGGATTTTTAAAATAGTGTATTCAATCAAGAAAAGTCTTTTAAAATTTAAAGTATTCCATCAAGACTTTTAAAAATTTTTTAAAATATTGAGGTATTTAACATAGACTTTTAAAAATCTTTTAAAAGCTTTTCTTTTCAATTATCGAATACACCTATATTATCATTAGAATAGCGGTGAAATAAATATTTACAAAAAATATATTTTACAATCCTACAAAATCCATATAAATTCATAAAGAATTCAATTACTAAAATCCATCAAACTCAACGTAGACTCTGTGGATTTTCTAAATCCACATAAATCCATAGACTTTTTAAAATCCATTAAAATCTCAATTGAATACACCCCTAAATCAATTTTTTTCTAAACTTATCAAAGAAATACACTTTCACTTTTCGTAACAATTTTTCAAGATTACTTTTATTTAAATAAATAGCATGTTTATAATCTCATATTTTTTTCCTTACTTCCCGTTAAAAAAATATATTAATAAAAATAAATATTTATATAATAAAAATAATTAAATAATTTAATTGAAATTAAAAATTTATAAATTATTTATGCAATTATTTGTAATGATACTAAAAAAATTAAAATTAAAATTATTTGCAATAAATTATTATTGTAATAATTTAAAATATAAATTAAAATTTTTTATATTTGATTATAATTTTTTCAAAAATTTTTTGTTTACCAATTTTTTCTTTGAACAATATCAAACTAAACTTTTATTTTTTATTTTTATAAAATCAATTATAAATTCAAAATATCAATATATACTTATATTATATCAAATAACTACTATTTAAATTTAAAGATTTACTATTCAAAATCCAAACTCTCAACCAAGAATGCCGTTGGTATTTATTAATTATAAAATATATTGTTTAAAGAATTATAATTATTTTTATTTTTATTTTTATTAAGAAAAATTACCGTTTATTCATCTATCGTAGAAATTGCTAGAGATGTCGATAAATATAACCTCTAGGATATCATAAGGTAGCCCGGTGGAATCAATGGATATCGCTTTCATAGAACCTAAATATCATTTTAATTCACATGGTCATTCATTTATTCAACTTAGTTATAAGCTAAATAAGATATTTATGGACAAATTGTGGTTGTCCCTTAGAAAGGTTGGCCTTCATAATATCACCTACATATAACAAAATAGGTATAACATAGAAACAATAAAAATTACAACTAGAGGTAGCAATTTTGGGCTACTCGAGTTTATCCATCGAATATTACAGTATGTTTGTTTATCGTAAGAATGACTAGAGATGTCAATGGATATAACTCCTAAGATATCCTAAAGTAACATAGTAAAGTCAATGAATATTGTTTTCACATAACCTAAAGATTCTCTTAATTTAAGCCCAAACACATTTCTTGTATGTCGAGTTCGAATCGAATTTTCGAACCGTAGCCAATTTTGCCAACTCTAACTACCGTGCCTCTAAGTGGTTGAACAGTGAAGCATACATCATTATAGTCAAGTTCACTTGTCAGTGATTTCCTAAAGTTATGGTTTTGAAACTTTATATTTATAGTCATGATTTGTGGTTTCATAATCTGTTACATGTTGAGACACTTTCAAAGAAAATAATAAAATAAAATAAAAAATCTTTGATTCTTGCCCGAATTTGGTCTTGAAAAATGACCGTAGAATAATTCAACATGATATTTCTATTTTTCTTTATTGTGACTAAAGATTTGATGTGCGGAGAGCTTTCTATATTGAAAGGCTCTACGGATTACTCATTCTGATCATTTTTCTTACTGATAATGATATTTATTGATGTCATATGATTATCTAAGAATTCGTTTAAAAAATACTTGAAAAAAGAGGTATACATAATATCTTACTAAATGTGTCAAATTCTTTGTTGTTGAAAATTGATTTTTAGAAGAATGTCATGGTTGGAGCTAGTTAGAAGAAGTTTTAAAATTTTGAATTTTTTAACCGGCTAAAAATTATTTTGAACCAGTCTAACGTTAATTAGATTGAATAAAAAAAAAAGAATGAAAGAACAACGAAAAAATATAATGGCATAAAAAAATCAAGTACAAATTAGAAAAAAACAAAATTAAATAAAATGTATAAAATTAGAAAAAATACTACCAAAAATAAAAAATAAAGAATAAAGTGAAATAAAATAAAATAAAATAAAACGAGAGAGAGTTTTAAAGTGTATCAGTGGTGTTCTTTTTTTTTTTTTTCCAAAATCTCTCTCCTTGCAACTCTACAATGGAGTTCTGTAAATCTTCTATTCATGAAATTGTAGGCTTTTAATCCTTACTTCCTGTAAATCTTTTATTCATGAAATTGTAGGCTTTTAATCCTTACTTCAAGGCTAAATGAGTGTGTGAACTATTCTCATGATGACTTTTTAACGCAGAAATACTTTAAATGATACAAATTAAAATAATAAAAAAATCACTTTCAATAAAAACGGAATGAATAAATTATTACAGAAATTTTAAGCTACCTATACAAATCATATTCAAATAATTTTTATTTTTTTATTTAAAAAAAAAAAAACAAAAAATGAAAGCCTATATTTAAAGTTTGGTTTAACAAACTTTGATTTAAATTTTATATCTAATAATGTTTGATGATAATGTATATATTCCCTCCATATATTATGTTTAGTTATTATAGACATGAAATTTTAAAAAATAATGATTAATAATAAATAAAAATATATTAATAAAATTAATTATAATTTATATAAATAATTATATATTAAGAGCCTGAGTAAAAAAATTATTTAATAACTTTTAGCTTATTAACAATAAAAAAACTAATTAGACTATTTGGTAAATTAGTCTTTTCAAATAATTTATAGGAGTAAAAAATTAAATTTAAAAAAACTAATAGATGCAACGATTTGTATAAGCATTTTCATCTCAATTGATTTTATTCCTAATTTGTCTTTTTTATTGCATTACTTTAGTAATTATTTTAATATATATTTTTAATTAAATTACAATTATATTTTTACTAATTTAAAACAATTGAAATTATTAATTATTCTATTTTAAAAAATATATAAATTTATTAAATTTTAGGCAAAAAAAAAAAAAAAACTCCTATGTAGTACATAAATACTAGTATTATTTGATTTATATATATTTTTTATCACAAAAAATTATATAAAACATAAATAGAATAAAATATAATTATTTTGAATAAAAAATTTAGTAAAATGATAAATTAATTAATATTAAACATAATAGTATAAAGATTATAAAAATATATATTATTTGTATTTCAAATAGAAATTAACAATATTCAAACGATTTTAAATAAAATTATAGTATTTATCTCAAAAATATTATATTAAAATACTATTTAAATCAAAATTCAAATTAAAATTCTTAAGTTCAAATCAAAACCAATAAAATATACTTAATTGTCATTTTATATATAAAAATTAATATAAAAAATTATTTTACTAAATATTTCAATAGAAATCGGTAATACAATCAGCTAGTAAAAATGAAAAATACGAATATTTTAAAAAATTATAAATATAAAATTTTAAAAAATGGTGAAGAAGATAGTGCTATTTTTTAGAAACTCAAATCCAAATAATAAAATTTAAACAAATTTGGTTTCTTTGGGATTTTAAATTGATTGGAATATTTATTTATTTATTTTGTTTAAATCGTATATGATAATATATGAAAAAAATATTATATTTTTATTGAAAAATATATCAAATGAATAATACGAATATTGATTTAAATTTAAAATTATAAAAAATAAACCATAAATAAATAAGAACATGTTTTCTTAATGAAAAATACATTTTCCCAAAAAATACATCTTCTAAAATAAATTAATATTCATTTCGTCTAGTAACAATTGATCTATTTTTTATATTTGTCTGTCCATAACAATTGATTTTTTTTAAGTAAAATTTATTAAATAAAAAATATATTTAATAAATATAAATTAACTTAATTAATTACATAACATATAATATCATACATAATATAAGACTCACTTAAAATTCATTTATTTCTGTCTATCTTTTAAAAAATAAATATTTTAATTTACATTTAAAATTTTACATTTTTTTTATAAAATTAGTTTATATTAATTATAAAATAAATAAACATATTGTTTGTTTACTTGTATTATAAAATTTATTTTAAAATTATCAATATCATTAATTATACATAAAAATATAATACTATCTCCGTCCCATAACAAATTATTCATTTTTTCATTTAGTCCGCCTATCTGTTTTTTTTAGTAATTGTATTATCTACCTTACAACTTACAATATATTACACAAATACTGTTATCTTTATATCGCATCATATTAACAAGATTATTTTAGTTATTTCTGAAAAAAACAAATGAATACTTAATTATGAAAATGATGAAATATTCCTCACTGTTATTAAATATTTTATGATATTTTTAATAAAAAAATATTTTCTTCGTTGTAAAACCATAGATACTTGAGATGAGTAACACAGTTAAAAAATAATAATATTATATCTATAGTGTGGTAAAAGTGTTACTAAAACACTAAAATAGTTTTTAGTAATTATTATAAAAAATGAGAATAATTTTGTAAAATAATAAAAAAAATAATTATAAAGATAAAATTTTTATTTTGATACGTACTAAAATATCAAAATTAATTATTTTTTTAAGACATGACTAATATATTGGGTATAGGGGCATCGAAAACACATTATTAATAAGTGTAGCAGAGATGGAGATGTATAGATGTATAGGCGATATGCCCAAGTGCAGGCATTGAAAGCACAGCAACCGAAGTCGCCGAGAATCGAAGGACGTTTCCTATTCGCTTGTTTGCAGATATCCTTGCTTGGATTTTCGTCTGTTATTATTATTAATATTTTTTGGGGAATTTGGATATGTTTACCATGATTTTCCCTATATAATTTCGCTGACTTCCGATCGGGAGATTGTCGCTTCTGTTCCCATCATTTTCTAGATCTCAGTTTCTTGCTTTCGCGAGATCTGGAACCCATAAGCTTGATATTTGCGGAGATCATGTCGGAAGCTTTGATCAATGGCGTCGCCGGGGCCGGCGGAGGAATCATCGCTCAACTGATTACTTATCCTCTGCAAACTGTACGATACTTTAATTTGATCAATTATTTTAGAATTTCTGGAGATACTGTGAAGATTCAAAGTCGGTGTGTGTGAGAGAGATTTCTTCTTCTTTTATTTTTTATTTTTATTTTTTTTATCACAATTATTTTATTTTGTAATTTGGAAGCGGTGAATTGTGATGATCCCCGATTGTATTAGGTCAATACTCGTCAACAAACCGAGAGAGATCCGAAGGAGAAGAAGAAGGCGCTGGGGACTCTGGAACATATGTCTAAGGTCATCACTTTAGATTCCTTTTTATACCTACAGTTACGTATCTAGTATTGTTTGCTTGATTTTTATTTCTTCTGTTCTACTCCTATATGATTAACATTGCGTATGCAGGTTGTAAGGCAAGAGGGGTGGGCTCGGCTCTACGGGGGGCTGACTCCGTCGCTTGTTGGCACCGCAGCGTCGCAAGTAAGCTTGTCTTGATCCCCTTTTTGATTGTATTTGCGTCTGCAATACGTGTTTACTTCTCTCTATGTAGGGGAAATTTAAGGCTGGCATTAATTGTGCACTAATTGACAAAGCAACTTGAAAGAACTTTCTGGCAATGAAATTGGTGACTTTTAGCGAAAATCGTTTTATTTATTTATTTAAAAAACGATGATGTAAAGTTTTTTAATATTAATTAATTTTTTTAATTACTAATTAAGATATCATTTTGAATTTGGTATATTTTTAGAACTGTTATTGAAGTTCTCATCCAAATATATTTTGATACAGTTAGTTATATTGTTGAATTTAGCTTTAAATTTGAGGAAAGGAGTAATTTTTTTTGGGGGCTACAAAGCTGCCTGTATATCTTAAAATTTTGTCGTATTTATCAAATAGATTGGGAGTTAGACAACTCCACATGAAGTTTTACGAATTGGCGAACATGATAGCTCATTCAAAACCTTTAATTTTGATACATTTCAATGATTTAGTTTTCTCATTCATATATATAATAATTAAATAGTCTACAAAAATTCTCTCAATTTTTAAAATAGAACATTCTTAAAGTAGATTAAGATTAAGATAATTAATTAGTCTAATTAACGTGGACATGTTAAGTAGGACACAGGGAGTACATAATAGCAATGGTGGGCTCATGGTCTTTGATATGTGTGCCATGGAGGATGACAAAATATCAGCATCTGCACCAACTTTCTGTTTTTGGCTTGTTATGAAGTCATAATGCTCTATACAATTGAAACAGAATATTTTATGCCTCAGTCTTATTGCAAATTATAATTTGGAAAAAAAGGGTAAAGAACAGGGTTAAATGGTCTCCACAACAAATAATTTTAATAGACAAGCAAATATTAAAAAAACTTTAAAAGTTTGTTTGGTTGTGATTTCAACCTTTTGTTTTCACTATTCATTTACTTTAATTTGTTTTTTATATGCTGAAAAAACATATTATGCATACATTTTTTTTTTTTTTAAAATTCCAAATATCAATTCAAATATCTATTTATATCAATATTAAACAAACTTTATTTAGAAATTTTTATTATTTCCAAAACACACCAAAACACAAAGGGTGTGTTTGTTTGTGGGTTTTAGTTTTTGGTTTTGGATTTTTGAATAGTAAAAAATTGAATTTGAATAGTTGTTTGATATGATATAAATAGAGGTTGATGTGATGTTTTGAATGTAAAATAAATTTTTAGTATAATATAAAAAAAGAAAAGAAATTGTTTGATGTGATATTTTTGGATGAAAAAAATAATCTGTATAGTAGAAACTTGAAACCTGTGATAAAACACACAAAAGAACACAATCAAAGAAACTTTAATAATTCAGTCCTTGAACTCACATCTTTCATATTTCTTTAGTTATGTTTTCAGTCACCCATTTTCTCTGTGCATCCATTGTACATTTTTTTCTCCAAAAAAATATCACATCATATTCATAGTTTTCATTTAATATATTACATACAAAATTTAGTATTTTAATTTGAGATATTTTTTGTGAGGTATGTGAATTATGTATTAAAGTTGACTTTTTGTGAGAAAATAAAAAATATATATTCAGTCTGTTCATTCAATGTTTTTAGATGAATTGATTTTTTGTGTGTGGTATGGAGAACTGATTTGGTAATATAAAAAAAATATTTTGTATTGAATGGTCAATTTTTTTATGAGTCGATGATATATATATTATATTAATGTGTGTGTATATTTGTATTTTTTTAATAATATTTATGGAGAATTGTTCCATTGAAAAATCCTAAGTGAACAGATTGATTATATATACTGAGAATTGACATCAGTTAAAGAATTGTTTGGGTGAACAAAGTTCAATAGTTATTTCAATTCAAAATACATACTATTTCGAACACAACAAAATACATCCAAACAAATTTTAACTACTAACTTTAAGGTACTTAAACACTAACAGTTGTACCTGTAAAAACTATTTTACCTACATGGGAAGATGTACTCAAACGAAAAACTTTAAGTCCATCAAAAGGGATTAAAAATAAGATATCAACTTTGAAATAAAACAAATTTCAAGAAAAATAGAAAATAAAAAGATTCATTAACTATAGTATTATACATGATTAAATATATAATGCAGATTATATTGGTTATAAATTATTTTTATGTTTCATTTTTTTTGTTTTTCGTGTGTGCTTTTTGTTTTGATGTGTTTGATGTAAAATAGTTATTATATGTGATATTTTGTATGAAAAATAAGCGTTGAATACGAAGTTGGGTGTTGGATGTATGCTCTTGGAGGAAAATTGGAATATTATATGGTAAAAAAAATGCAAAGAAACACACTTTGTAACCATCAAACAAAAAATATTTTTGTTAAATAAAGAATTAATGGGTTTGTTCACTTAGTTTCTGGATGAATGCGTTTTTAATGTTAGGTATGAAGAATTGTGTAGGTAATATGAAAAATAATTTTTTGTTGAATTGTTGATTTTTTGTGTTAATGTGTGTGTGTCTTGTATTTTTTATAATATTTATGGGGAATCGTTCCACCAAACAGTACAAAGTGAACAAATCTAATATACTCATGTAGAGAGAGAAAGAGAGAGATCTAAATAATTTTGTAAGAACCATGAATATCTACATATGGCCCACATTAGTTGGACCCGATATTTAATCATTGATGATAATATTATATATATATTATGAGTGTGTTCGTTTGGCGGATTTCTCCGGATTTCTACTATTAACTAAATTTTTTCTTCTAAAAACATCAAATCAAATACCTATTTTTTCATTTTTAATATTATTCTAAAAATTAATTTTACATTTAAAACATCACATCAACACCTATTTATATCACATTATACAACTATTTTAATTCAATATTTTTACTATTCAAATTCCGACTCAAAATCCAAACCCCCAAACAAACACACCCTATCTTTGTTCAATCTGCTAGGCATGCTCTATGAACATTTGTTTGTTTGGTTTTGATTTGAAATTGTAGTGTTGATTTGAGTTTTGTTTTAATTAATATTTAATGTGATGTTTTATGAGAAAAAATATTATATTTTTATTGGAAACCATGCGAGATAAATAGTGTTTTGGGGTATAAAACCCAAAACAAACACACAAATTTTTGTAGTTTTACAATATTCTGAATAAGATGCCTGGTTTCTTATGTATTTACAACTTTTATGGTACAGGGTGTTTATTATTATTTCTATCAAATATTCAGGAACAAAGCTGAAGCTGCTGCTTTTGACCGAAAGAGAAGAGGCACTGGGGATGGATCAGTTGGAATGCTCTCATCACTTATGGTTGCTGCACTATCAGGGTAATATGCTCCTCAATAAACTCCTTTTTGAATCAACATTTGGTTATATAGTGCAGTATAGGCATAGTTCATCTTGGTTTGCCAGAAATTCGACTGATCATAAACACCGTAGCAGGATTACAGCAATAACTGTTTGGAAGAATGAAAGAGGGAGTTTCATGCATGTGCTAGTCTATACCCGCTAGTTGATTTTAATTTCAAAATATGGAAATGACCTTTATCCATAAAAAAGTAAAAAAAGTTCGAATCTGAACTGTCCACCTGATCTAGAAAAGAAATAGCTGGACCTTTCTGAGATAAGACTTTTCTACTCTTGCTGTGAGAACTTGATAGGAAGTAGGGACAGAATCTTGGGAATGAGGAGGGGGCAATGAACCTCTTTGTGTACCGGAGGCGGGAATGGACTTAGGCTTGCTTTCGCAGGCTTGAGCTTTTATTGATCAGTTCTTTATTATTTATTTGCTTTGGCTTTACTTATGAACTTTTATTATTTTGAGTTGGGCGTGTCTCTTATTTATTGGATGGATTTATTTTAATTTTAGTAAGTAGGATTTAGTAGTAATATTTAACGAAAGGAGTACCTAGGGTTCGAAGGGATATTCATGATTTAGGAAATAAAGTAACTTTGAGGCTTTTGGGCAAACGGTTGATTCTGTTTGATTGTTTTTTTCGGCAAACAATTGATATCGTTTGATTGTTTTTATCTATTTATCATGTTTCTATCAGTACTTGAAACACAACCTGCTTCTAATATGAGACTACTGACTACCATGACTGGATAAACCCCCAACTTCCACGCAGCGGCGGTGGTGGCTAAAGGCTGCTCCACTAAAATGCATTGTTAACATCTAGAGGTTTTGAACATATACTTAGACCATAACTTGTACATAGATACTTCATAGACCTAGCAAACAGCGTTTTTGAAATTTCAAGGCAATGATGAACCCTTTTGTAATATACTTGGAGAATTCAGGTTTCGGTTGTTTCTAGTTGTTATTTTAAGTTCATTTAGACCTGTATTTCACCAGAGATATCGATTATCAGCTTTACCAGCATGTCTTGAAACCTACCAATATATATATTTAACAAATATTGGTCCTCTCCATTGTCTCTTTTCTGAAAGTGGCTTGTGTGCACTGACTATGATTGCAGCAAAATTTACTATATGCTTTTTCTCTACCAGTACCAGTGAAGATATCTCTTTACAATATGTGTACGTAACATGCTGCAATTGTATTGTACTTGGAAATCTTCATCATTGTTATTATTAATATACATTATCTATCTATGGGACAACAAAAATTTCAATAGCGTAGGATGAAATTTCTTATAGACATGTTCCCCATTTAATTGATTTAATATATAGAGAAATCGATACCTTCTACAAGCTTCCTTTTTTACAGGTGTGTGAATGTACTTCTGACAAATCCTATATGGGTGGTTGTAACACGCATGCAGGTAGCACAGCCTTCCTAGTTGGCCAATTTACTGTGTTTTTCCCTCTTATGATGATTTATGATTTTATGAATGAATTATTGCTTGTTACTGCGGATCTTATCCTATTATTTTGAAATTTCCCATTTCATAGCACAGGTTTCAAACAATTACCCGAATACTCATGTCAACCTCATTTTTACAATGCAATTTTCCTAGTCATTTGCTTTCTAATTTATTTGCTATTTTGGTGAGGAGCGTCGGTCATATTGTAGTAGTGTTTATGTTTTCCCCCCTATGTAGTAACATTTTATTTTTTTCTTTCTAAGGTGTCTTTTGTTACCACGGGCATATTCATATATCCATCTAACTTTCTGCCTTAAAGGATTCATAAATTTTCATTTAGGCATTGTTTGTTACAAAAGAAGAGATGAAGATAAATGATGAATATTTTTCTTGGAAGTTGAAACCAAACAAATACTTTATGTGTTTCGGGAGTTGAAGAGATTTGGAAAGAAAATTATATGATTACATATTTCCCTTTCTAAATATTACTTTTGATGGAATTTTGAGGATAATATTTTATATTATAAGCTAAGTTCCTACCAATTCTCACCTGTTCATTTGTTTCTGACTACCTTTGAGGAAATTTTCTATGAATCGGAAGAAGAGGTTCATTTCCTTTCTTTTTCTTCCCTTCTCAACCTTTTAAACTTTCAAACAAAGGGAAAAGTTTTTCTTTATCTTTCTATTCATATGAAGATAAATCCCTAAGGTATCTTAAATTATATATACATATACCAATTCTCACCTGTTCATTTGTTTCCGACTACTTTTGAGGAAATTTTCTATGAATCGGTAGAATAGGTTCCTTTCCTTTCTTTTCTTCCCTTCTCAACCCTTTAAACTCTCAAACAAAGGGAAAGGTTTTATTTATTTTTCTATTCGTATGAATCCCTAAGGTATCTTAATATATATATATATATATATATCAACCAGGCCATTCTTTATATAATTATAATGGCGTTACAGTCTAAAAGTAAGTGAAACCTTATCTTATTTAGACTCTGGTAATTATTTACCAATATATTGTGATTTAATCTTTACTGTACTGGTTATGCGGTCTGCATGCTTAAATTAGTAGGTGAACATAATGCACTTTATGCATGTGACATCTCCACTATATACAAAACTCCTATAAGTATTGGTCTGCGATCTCTACTTGGGGTATTTATGTGATGGACATTGAAACTGAAGAAAAATTCTTTTAGGCATGTGCTTCCACCTTATTCATGTAATTTATCCTGCAGACTCACACGAGGAAGGGTAAACCAAACTGTAGTGATTCTTCATTTGTAGGAGTAGATCTTGCAGCTTTGGAGTCTTCTTTTGGTACTGCTCATGCGGTATGTAGTTCATTTCTTGCAATAAGTGTTGGAGCTAAATGTGCATCTAGTTCCATTCATTCTAAAATTAGAAATTGTTTGGATGTGTTTCGGAGGTGATTTTTTGTATTTTAGGAATAGTAAAATCGGAATTGAGATAAGCTTTTGCTATGATGCTAATGTATTCAACATAATGTTTTAAATAGTAAATGAGTTTTGAATTTTAACTTAACATTTGATGAATGTGATGTATTATATGGAAAATGGGTTTTAGGATGTGATGTTTTTGATTGGAAAAAAAAAAAAAAATGTATAGGAAACACACACAACAAAACACAACCTAATGTTTGATGTGGTAATTTTAGGGGAAAGAATATAGGGTGTGTTTACTTGTAAGATTTTGGTTTTGGTTAATGCTAGATTGGAATAAAAAACACATACAAACACACCGTAAGACATCACATGTTTCATATTTCATCTTTCAAACTAATAGAGTGATAGGAATAGTTATGATGATAGAAATAGAAACTAAGTTTAAGAACTATAAAAGATAATGATAAATATTTTGAACTTTTACATTAAGGGTTTGTTCTCTTGGTTTTTTTTTCTTGTGTGTGTGGGTGTTTTGGGTTTTAATGTTTTTAAAGTGAAATAGTTGATGGATGTGATGTTTTGTATGGAAAGTGAGTGCTGGATGTGATGTTTTGTAGAATTGAGTAATTAAATAGTAAAAATTGGAACAAAATGCAAAGAAAACAAACTCTAAGTCTCAAGTTTGAGTGGAGCTAATATATTTATATACACTATGTTTCTTTGTTGACTTGCCCTTATTGAAATAAGATAGAGGTGCAACAAAAGATTGATAGTAAAGAAGAGTTCAATAGATGTGACCTAAAGTTCTTGGAGGCTGAATTAAAAGAGCTTACTGACCAGCTTCATAGTTTCTATTCAATTTTTAGATGTCATCTTTTGCCCTTATACTTTAAGCTATACGAGTTAATATATAATGTAGGTTAACTTTTAGCTTTGATGTCAATTGAAAAAGCAGTCGGTAAATTTCCTATCTTTGTGTTCAACTCTTTGATCTTTAAGTATCGTTAGTGATTTTAATATATACATGCATCATAATATTTGATTGATTAACTTTAGAGGTCAAATTCAAGATTGCCTTTTGTTTCTCCTCTATTTTCATTTATTTTGTTAGTGATATGTATACACACGTACACGTAACAATATTTCGTTACAAAAGCATTTGAAAATTACTGAAAGTTTTTCTTATTTATGGTTTAAAGATTAGAGGCCTTTTGGGCGTGTTTTCTATTTATTTTTCAATTGCATATGCACATATATAATTATGAGTAAGCATATTTATGCTTGTTTTTAGCTTGACTTGGATCTAATTTGTAGTCTCCAACCTTCACGAGAATACTATCCTCATTTATAAATTCTGTTTTGCAGATTCAAGAGGTCTACGATGAGGCTGGACTCTTTGGATTTTGGAAAGGTGTTTTACCCACACTGATCATGGTATGCACTTAATGCTCTTGTAGCTCTGCTGGTTATTTGTTGATAGTAATCAATACTGCCACAGGTGAGCAATCCTTCAATACAATTTATGCTGTATGAAACTCTCTTAAAGAGGCTGAAGAGCCGACGTATTGCACGTGGAAAGCTGAACAGTGATGTCAGTGCTTTGGAGGTGGTAGTTTGATTTCTCTGTAACACTTTAGTCATTTACATTCTCATGGCTACTTTGCGTCTAGTGCCAGAATAACTCTGTAGTTCTCACATCATTTTGGATAGATATTTTTCCTTGGAGCTTTGGCCAAACTTGGTGCTACAGTTGTTACATATCCTCTTCTGGTTGTTAAGGTAACATTAGTTTCTCATTTGTACTACTTATTGATTTTTCTATGCATATAATGTTTTGTTCCTGTTATTGAAGTGATCTAAGAATATCTACTCAATTAGTCAGTGCTTTATTTTGTCACTGCAGTGTGTGAAACTTGATATCCACTTTCCTTAATGATGACCAGTCCAATGACGTGTAATCATGGCCAGTTCACTTTGTTGAAATTTGTTACACACTTCTTGTTCTTTTTTCTTGCAGTCAAGACTTCAAGCTAAGCAGAAGGCTGGTGGAGACAAGAGGCATCAGTATAGAGGTTTGTTTTTATGATTCTATCTTGAAATTTGCATAAATCTATTTTGAGTTTTGGTCATCAAATTTTATTACTTACAACATCTACACACCTATATTTTGAGCAGTCTCTCTTTCAGGATTCAAGGGTTAGAATTTGTAGGTAATTTTCATATAACTTTCAACATGAAATCAGCGATGAATGTGAATGTTTCTTCATTGAGATGCAACTCAATGATATAAAACCCATCCAACCACCACTGTTCCCTTGACAATGCTATCAAATTTCATCCCTTTTTACTTTTTAGTGAGAGTTTGTGGTTCTGACGTTTGAGTCAATAAAAAATTATAAAGGATAAAGGATGGGCTATATCTATGTTATGGGCTAATGTGGAGCAGATTGAATTGACAAGAACTCATGCATTGTTAGTGATATAGCTTGTGAGACAACCTTGACATATGAAATAGGACTATAAAGCAAGTTTTCTATTATAATATTCGAAAAGAGAATAAGCGTGACAAAGAGTTATTACTACATATTCTTTTTCCTTATTCCATTCTTCACACAATTACACACTCTTGTGGTTCACATTCATTTGTTTTTGGATAATAAACGGCAAGAGGATGGATGATCTATAGGCTGCGTTCTTTCTGCTCCAAATTTAAAGCCCACCTCTTGCAGGATTCTACTTACGGGCCACATTTTAGCTCCATAGTTTATGGTTGCTGTGTGCAGGCACCATGGATGCAATATTGAAGATGATACGGTACGAGGGAGTGGATGGGTTTTATAAGGGGATGAGTACGAAAATAGTGCAAAGTGTGTTTGCAGCTGCCATTCTTTTCATGGTGAAGGAAGAACTGGTCAAGGGTAGCAAGTGGTTGGTAACAAGGGGTGGTGGTGCTGTCCGAAAACCAAAGCTGCTGCTTCAGTGAGGTGAGTTCAGTTAAGGTGACATGCTAGCTTCATCACTCACCCCCTCCCCTAATAATATCAATAAAAGAAACCACCATTTGATACTAATAGAAATCGAATTTGAACTTGTAAGAATGAAGAACACATAATCAAGTATCATTTGATTTGATGTTTAGGAGTAGCTATCAATCACACAAGTTAGTTGTACGGTAGTTGTTGCTCAGATCACCATGCTGAAACTGCATTATAAACTTGTTCAACAAATTATTTGTGTGCGCCATATTGTCAGCTTGTTTGTGTTTTCAGTGGTTTTTGTATCTTGATTTGTTTGTGCTATAGTCTGAATGTTTGTGTTTAGATATTAGTAAAATATAAATAGTCCACAAACGAAGGCTCGTTCATGAAGAAGTGAAAGAAGTATCATCATCAAGCTATACCGGAAGGCTCATTCATAAATCAACGGACTCTACTTTGTAGCGCTAGGGCTAAAAATACGAACACAAGCAATTAAATAGAAATTTTAAAGATATAATACACTGGCTTATCATATAAATGAAGAGAGTTAGACTCAAAATTAAGTCGAAAATTAGTTTAAAGGAGCTCAACATTAATAGTAAATTCAAAAGCATCTTAATAGATGTGATAGTTTTATTTTTCCTCAATGGTTCATGATGTGGATGCATTAGTTAGACATAATAGAAGCCCCACACCTACAGGATAAAGAATCAAATGTAAATTAATACAATATATGTCAATATCAAAAAATCAATTGGAAAAGAGAAATTAAATAAAATTGCACATGTCATGTGACAATTCACAAATAAGTTTTTTAGTGTGTTTCTTACATCTCTTTTTATTCACAAAGAAAATTCTACTAGACCTTAATTAGGGTCGGTTCGATCTACTTTACCAATCTTATTATTTTGTTGGACACGTCCTACAAATACACATCACAAATATAAGGTCATAACCCTCAAGGAATTTCACAAATAATACGTAAGGGTTCGAAGCCCAAGGTATACATATGATAATTTATTAATTAGTTGCGAGGGATTGTACACGACCCATCTTTACATTCCATATGGCGGTCTAAAGGTCACTTCATCGCAAATAACATGCACCTCGGAATCATCCAAAAGGAAACTTGTCATCATGATGCCATGACCTAGCCTATTCGGGATCTAGGTCAATGTTAGCTAGTTATTATAAAATAACGGTATATTTTTACGTGTTTGCAAGTAACAGAGGTGGAAGATTATGCTTCATCATTCCATACGATCGACGAGTTGATCGAACTTGACGAGTGATTCCAATTAATAATTTGATTCAATACTCAATATACGATTAAACAAATCTTAATCAAATGGATTTCAACTCGAAATATTCCATTCATAAAATATTTAGCTAACTAATCAAAAGATATCAATCAAGAATCATGCTTTGCAATATAAGAGAAACTAAAAAAAAAGTTTTCAAATTTGCTCATAAAACATTTTCCACTTATTATATTTATTTAGTAGCTAAATCAAGAATGGAAAAATATTAACATTCAATAAGTTCATTAAAAAGTCTTACATTCTTTTTTAAAACAATTATTTGAATAATACGTCCATTCAAAGAAATATCATCTAACTCTAAAGATAATCACAATTTTTTTTCCAAAAATCATAAATTAGGTTAGGACAAAATTCAAAATTTTAAAACATGTCACAAATCTTATATTTTCTAACTTAGATTAACATAATAATCTCCACATAAACCCTAAATAATATATTAATCAACTTACTAAAACAAAATTTGCAAAACTTAAACTTTTAGAACAAACTCATTTGAAAATAATTAATTTTTTTTTTTTTTTTTACATAAAATCAACAAATAAGTCTAGAATATATATTATACTACTTAATTAAGAATCATTTCACTTATTCTAAAAGAATCCAAAAGAAAAATTTTAATGGAATAACTTTTGAACAAAAAAGGAGAGCTTGGCGGCAATTGGAATTAGGAGAGAAGCATGATGCGAACTTGCCTCTCTCTATTAAAAAAATTATACATAGATCTATTATTTGTATTTTATTTCCTTTGGGCTATATAATTGGGTTAGGAGTTAGGGTCGGGTCTAGGGTTTTAGGGGTTTAGGGTAAAAAAAACTTCATCTTGGGCAGATAGCGGGAATCGAACCCGCATCTTTTCCTTGGCAAAGAGAAATTTTACCATTTGACTATATTCGCATTTTTTATTCGTGATATAAAATATATCCACGGTCGGGTTTAGGGTTTAGGGTTTAGGGTTGGGGGTTTAGGGGTTAGGGGTTAGGGCTAGGGTTTAGGGGTTAGGGTTAGGGTTTCGGGTTTCGGGTTTCGGGGTTGGGGTTTCAGGTTTGGGGGTTGGGGTTTGGGGTTTGGGGTTTGGGGGTTAGGGCTTGGGGCTTGGGTTTAGGGTTTAGGGTTTTTATTTTTTATTTTTTTTTATTTTTTTTATTTTTTATTTTTTTATTTTTGGCTGGGCTCAAAGAGCTGCCTACGTACCCCAACGGGATCAAGCCATACGTAGTTCTGCAAAGTTCGGTACAAGTGCTGTAAAAATAAATAAAGATTGTAAGCAACTAAAAGCTAACGGAAGCGAAAGCACGGGAGGCCCGCCGCGTCAGCATGGATGAGGCCACGGGTCCTCGCTGGGATGTCCGCCGGCTCAAGGATCCGCATATGAGGAAGGGCAACAGAGGTGTTCGCTAAGTTGTCCGCCACTTTATTGCCCTCGCGGAAAATATGAGAGATCCTCCACTCGATGCTGCGAAGCTGTAGGCGCAGGTGGTGGAGACAAGGCTGGAGAGTCCAGTGTCCCGTCGAGGAGGAGATGAGAGAGATACTGCTGGCCGAGTCCGTCTCGATCCAGAGAGGGAGGAGGCCGCGGGCAACCGCCAGGTCCACTCCAGATCGAATCGCCTGCAGTTCGGCCAAAGTGTTCGTCGTATTCAAAAGGGGAACTTGGAATGCCACAATTGGGGCGCCGGTGGCATCCCGAATGACGCCCGCGGCTCCAGCGGCGCCTGGATTCCCGAGCGATGCCCCATCAGTGTTGAGTTTGAACCAGCCTGGAGACGGGGCTTCCCAGCGTACCATGACCGGCGGCCGAAGAACCGGAGGTGGGAGGCGAAGGCCGAGACTAGAGGCTAGATGCACCTCCCCAGGCCAGTGCTGACGCTGGAGGAGGCCAGCACGGCCTAAGACCTGCAAATGCGAGTGAATACGCCAGATAATCCTGTCAGATGAGATCTGGATACCTCGGTGTTTGGCGTCATTCCGTGCCGTCCAGAGAAACCAGAAGGCCAGAAGCGGTATATAAGTACGGATACTCCGCGCATGTCGGGAGGACAGACGCCAAGCGGAAACCATCAGGTGGGGCGCATGTGTCCGCGGGATTTGGATATGAAATAAATCGGCAAGATGGCGCCATACGCGCTGGGCCACCGCCGACGAGAAGAATAAGTGCTCGATCGTCTCAGACTCCCGACAGCATTGGCAGCAAGAGACAATAGGGAGGCCCATCTTCCGTAAGGCCTCATCGACAGGTATCCGACGGCGAAATAAACGCCATAGGAATACCGACATTGTAGGAGTAAGAAGCGGCGACCACAAGCTGCAAGAGAGCCAGCTCCGTGCTCCAGCTGTTCGGCTCATCTCCCATGCTGAGGTTGTAGAGAAAGTACCTGTGGTCGAGGCCTTCCAAATCGGCTGATCCGCAATCTGGAGATCAGAAGGAATCGCCGAGACCTGCTGAACAAGGGTTTCAGGGAGGTAAGCGCGGAGGCGCGGCAAATCCCACGTCCCGTTAACCCACATCTCTTTCACCCGTATCGGCGGAGGGCGGTCCTGGCGGTCAGCGCATAGCGGACGATCTCCACACCAAATATCATACCAGAAGAAGCAGTCCCCGCGCCCCAAATTCCAAGTGATCTGAGTCTGTGCCTCATCTCGAACCTGGCAGAGACGCTTCCAAACCGGGCTGTCATAGCTCCTGCAGGGTGCAAGTCCTGGAAAGGAATTCCGAAAATATTTCTGTTGAAGCGCGCGAGCCCAAAGGGAGGAGCCATCTCTGAGTCGCCACCACAGTTTAAACGAGAAGGCCCGAACCGTATCGGCCAGGCGACGAATGCCAAGCCCACCCTCCTCCTGTGGCCGTGCAATATCCGCCCAGGAGATCCAATGGCGGCGGCGTAGGGTTTAGGGTTTGGGGTTTGGGTTTTGGGTTTTGGGTTTTGGGTTTTGGGTTAGGGTTTAGGGTTTCGGGTTAGGGGTTTTTTTTTTTTTTTTTTTTTAAAAAAAACTATATAGCAGTGGCTGAACCCAAGGTGGGCTGCCTACGTACCCGAACAGGATCAAGCCATACGTAGTTCTTAGTAGAGCTACATAGTCCAAGTAAACAAACATGCATGACAGGCCTAGGTAATCAAAGTATAACACCAATCAACACTAAGCCAATCAAGCTAAATGAGTAAGTAACGTCATACCAATACGAGGCCTACACCCGGAAACGGAAGCCCGGAAGTCCGTCAGCATCCGCTCGAAGGAGGCCTCTAGTCGCCCGAGGGAGATCCATCGGAAGAAGTATCCGCTCCGTCGGAAGGGAGACCGCCGTCGTCGCTAAAACATCCGCAACACGGTTCCCCTCCCGATAAATGTGCGAGATCCTCCAAGTCGTATCCCGTAAGCGCATGCGAAGAGTAGATTTGACTATATTCCCAGAGACATCGTGCAGATTTGGCCCTAGTCGGGATGAGAGTTCCTCGTCGTTTGACATTGTGTCGGAGGATTCACCATTTCTCAAGGATGGTACCCCGCCATCCTTGTGTGGTTCCCCCTGCAGAGATTGGAGTACTGTATTGAGGGAGAGTTCTGGATCCTTATTGGAGAGGGATACCCTGTGTGCTCCCGATGGAGGTACTGATTTGTTACAGGGGGAGTTGTCCCCTCGCCCTGAGGATGTTCTAGAGCCTCCCGGCCGACTGGATAGCAGAGAGGTGCATTCTCCGCATTCTCCATCTTTGGATTTGGATGGCTCGCCGCTTATTGAGGACAGTTCCCCACCTTCCTTGTTCGATGTGTTAGCTCTTTCTCCTCGTGGGGATGGGAGCTTTGTTTCAGGAGTCCTGTCTCAGGAGAGTTCTGGGCCTTCATCGGAGATAGATGATCTTCGACAGTCTTGTCGGGTTACATCGGAGCCGCCCCCTGTCTTGACTCCTTTGATGGTGAAGCCTGAGGGGATGATTGGTTCCCCAGAGAGGGAGGAGTCTGAGGTTCCTTCGGGAGTCAGTGTACAAAGTAGACCGCCACTCCCTGAGGTGAGCCGCCGCATCACTCGTAGTATTGCCCGCCTTCAGGCGCGTTCGTCCGTCGCCACGTTCCTATGACTGATTTCTCTTTTTTAGTTTGGAATGTTCGGGGTGCTGGGAACCCCCGAGCCCAGCGGGAGATTCACTACTTGTGTCGCACGCATCGGGTGCGCATACTGCTCCTACTGGAGCCTATGGTCGAGGCGGCGCCAGAGTACTTCTGTCGTCGCCTCGGATTTGCTCATATGATAGGGAATGAGGCGAACACGATTTGGTTGTTTGTCGATAGTTCATTCCAGTGTCAGATGGTTGCGAGTGACGATCAGTGGATTCATGTGCAGTTATCGTCACCACAGAATCGTCGACCCCTTCTGCTGACAGGGGTTTATGGGAGATGTAGTGTTGTCAGGCGTCGGGAGATATGGGGATTCTTGGAGGAGACTGCAGTCTCAGCTGTTGGGGTTCCTTGGATAGTCGGTGGCGACTTTAATGCCATCGCAGATATATCGGAGAGGGAGGGCCCAGGACGGCCGCGGCTGCGATCGATTCAGGATTTTTCGGGCGCTCTCCTTGATGCTGGATTGATAGATGCCGGTTTTGAGGGTCCTCAGTTTACCTGGACGAACCGGCGGGTGTGGAAGCGCCTAGATCGGATACTTTATAGCCGTTCGTGGGAGGAGTTTGCGGAGACCACACGGGTTCGGATTTAGAGTTTGGGGTTTGGGGTTTGGGGTTGGGGGTTTGGGGTTGGGGGTTTGGGGGTTGGGGTTTAGGGGTTAGGGTTTAGGGGTTTAGGGGTTAGGGTTTAGGGGTTAGGGTTTTGGGGCTTGGGGCTTGGGGCTTGGGATTAGGGTTTAGGGGTTGGGGGTTGGGGGTTGGGGTTTGGGGTTTGGGGTTTGGGGTTGAGGGTTTGGGGTTTGGGGTTTAGGGGTTAGGGGTTGGGGTTTAGGGGTTCGGGGTTCGGGGTTCGGGGTTCGGGGTCGGGTTCGGGGTTCGGGGTCGGGTTCGGGGTTCGGGGTCGGGTTCGGGGTTCGGGGTTCGGGGTTCGGGGTTCGGGGTTCGGGGTACGGGGTTCGGGGTACGGGGTTCGGGTTCAGGGTTCAGGGTTCAGGGTTCAGGGTTCAGGGTTGAGGGTTTTGGGTTTTGGGTTTTGAGTTTTGGGTTTTGGGTTTTGGGTTTGGGGTTGGGGGTTGGGGGTTGGGGTTTGGGGTTTGGGGTTAGGGTTTAGGGTTTAGGGTTTAGGGTCTAGGGTCTAGGGTCTAGGGTCTAGGGTCTAGGGTCTAGGGTCTAGGGTCTTGGGGTTATGGGGTTAGGGGTTTAGGGGTTTAGGGTTTAGGGTTTAGGGTTTAGGGTTTAGGGGTTAGGGGTTAGGGGTTTTTTTTTTTTTTTTTTTTTTTTTTTTTTTTTTTTGGCTGGGCTCAAAGAGCTGCCTACGTACCCCAACGGGATCAAGCCATACGTAGTTCTGCAAAGTTCGGTACAAGTGCTGTAAATGTAAATAAAGATTGTAAGCAACTAAAAGCTAACGGAAGCGAAAGCACGGGAGGCCCGCCGCGTCAGCATGGATGAGGCCACGGGTCCTCGCTGGGATGTCCGCCGGCTCAAGGATCCGCATATGAGGAAGGGCAACAGAGGTGTTCGCCAAGTTGTCCGCCGCTTTATTGCCCTCGCGGAAAATATGAGAGATCCTCCACTCGATGCTGCGAAGCTGTAGGCGCAGGTGGTGGAGACAAGGCTGGAGAGTCCAGTGTCCCGTCGAGGAGGAGATGAGAGAGATACTGCTGGCCGAGTCCGTCTCGATCCAGAGAGGGAGGAGGCCGCGGGCAACCGCCAGGTCCACTCCAGATCGAATCGCCTGCAGTTCGGCCAAAGTGTTCGTCGTATTCAAAAGGGGAACTTGGAATGCCACAATTGGGGCGCCGGTGGCATCCCGAATGACGCCCGCGGCTCCAGCGGCGCCTGGATTCCCGAGCGATGCCCCATCAGTGTTGAGTTTGAACCAGCCTGGAGACGGGGCTTCCCAGCGTACCATGACCGGCGGCCGAAGAACCGGAGGTGGGAGGCGAAGACCGAGACTAGAGGCTAGGTGCACCTCCCCAGGCCAGTGCTGACGCTGAAGGAGGCCAGCACGGCCTAAGACCTGCAAATGACAGTGAATACGCCAAATAATCCGGTCAGATGAAATCTGGATACCTCGGTGTTTGGCGTCATTCCGTGCCGTCCAAAGAAACCAGAAGGCCAGGAGCGGTATATAAGTACGGATACTCCGCGCATGTGGGGAGGACAGACGCCAAGCGGAAACCATCAGGTGGGGCGCATGTGTCCGCGGGATTTGGATATGAAATAGATCAGCAAGATGGCGCCACACGCGCTGGGCAACCGCCGACGAGAAGAATAAGTGCTCGATCGTCTCAGACTCCCGACAGCACTGGCAGCAAGAGACAATAGGGAGGCCCATCTTCCGTAAGGCCTCATCGACGGGTATCCGACGGCGAAATAAACGCCATAGGAATACCGACATTGTAGGAGTAAGAAGCGGCGACCACAAGCTGCAAGAGAGCCAGCTCCGTGCTCCAGCTGTTCGGCTCATCTCCCATGCTGAGGTTGTAGAGAAAGTACCTGTGGTCGAGGCCTTCCAGATCGGCTGATCCGCAGTCTGGAGATCAGGAGGAATCGCCGAGACCTGCTGAACAAGGGTTTCAGGGAGGTAAGCTCGGAGGCGCGGCATGTCCCACGTCCCGTTAACCCACATCTCTTTCACCCGTATCGGCGGAGGGCGGTCCTGGCGGTCAGCGCATAGCGGACGATCTCCACACCAAATATCATACCAGAAGAAGCAGTCCCCGCGCCCCAAATTCCAAGTGATCTGAGTCTGTGCCTCATCTCGAACCTGGCAGAGACGCTTCCAAACCGGGCTGTCGTAGCTCCTGCAGGGTGCAAGTCCTGGGAAGGAATTCCGAAAATATTTCTGTTGAAGCGCGCGAGCCCAAAGGGAGGAGCCATCTCTGAGTCGCCACCACAGTTTAAACGAGAAGGCCCGAACCGTATCGGCCAGGCGACGAATGCCAAGCCCACCCTCCTCCTGTGGCCGTGCAATATCCGCCCAGGAGATCCAATGGCGGCGGCGGTGCCCGTGATAAGAACCCCAGAAAAAACGAGCAAAAAGTTGCTCCACAGAGTGAAGTACCGCCTGGGGGGGGCAAAGTACCTGCAGCAGATATAGGGGGAGCGAGAACAAAGTGCTCCTGATTAACTGTAATCGACCCCCGTGAGATAGAACCGAGCGATCCCAGCGCTGCAGATAACGACGGAGTTTTCCAAGGAGTTCCTCATAAAGAATATTGCGCCGATTGCCCACATAGAGGGGCGCGCCAAGATATGTAAGAGGGAGTTCAGCTGCGCCAAAACCAGTCACCGATTGGAGCTGTCGTTGAACAGTCTCCGGGCACTGGCGGCTGAAAACAAGCTGGCTTTTCTGACAGTTCACCTTCTGGCCAGTAATCCGTGCGTAAGTCGTCAGAAAGTCGGTCAGAAGGCTGATGCGATTGCCACAGGTATTAGCGAATATGAGGACATCATCCGCATAAGCAAGGTGCGTCAGCCGGAACCGACCACGACACCGATAGTACAGATCCGGAAAACGGCTGTAGAGGCGCTCCAAGCCGCGTGATAAGAGATCTGCAGCCAAGACAAAAAGGGTCGGGGACAAGGGGTCTCCCTGCCTAAGGCCTCGCGAGGAGGGGAAGAAGCCACCCAGGTCCCCATTCACAAGGATCGAGTACCACGCATGCTCAACACAGTTCATAATCAAAGTGATGAAGTGAGCCGGGAAACCGAACCTGGAAAGGGCGTGCCGTAAGAACCGCCATGACACCCGATCGTACGCCTTGTTAAGGTCCAATTTCAGCAATAAATTGTGCGAGCCTCCTCTCAGATTATGATCATGGACCATCTCCGACGCTAACAGGATATTGTCCGCAATCGCGCGGCCTTTGACAAAGCCGCTCTGATGCGGCGATAGAAGCTGCGGCAGTAGAGGGCTAAGGCGCGTGGTGAGTAGCTTTGTGAAGATCTTACTGCTGACATTACAGAGGCTGATAGGTCGATAATCAGCCCATGCAAGTGGCCCCTCCTTCTTGGGGATAAGTACAAGAGTCGTCGCTGTATAAAACTTCAGGAGGGGGGCTCCCGAAAAGAAATCCAGTACAGCATCAAACACATCCTCCCGGATGATCTCCCAACATTTCTGGTAGAAGGCGGCAGAGAAGCCATCGGGACCAGCCGCACTATCTTGATCAATCGAGAAGACCACAGCACGAGTCTCCGCAAGTGTAGGCGGTTCAAGCAACCGAGTGCACTCGGCCGGCGGAACCTGGGGCGGTGGGTCTGCCAAGGCATCCATTTCCGACGTGTCGGCATCATCAGGCTGTCCCAACATCCCAGAGAAATAGGAAATGGCTGACTGCTTAATATCTGAGTGATCAGTGAGGGTACGAGCACCGTCAGCCATCGAGAAGATTGTCGCCCGCCGGCGTCGTTCCTTCACCATGGAATGGAACATACGGGAGTTCCGTTCTCCCTCGACCGCCCACCGACAGGCTGCTTTCTGTTTCCAGTAAGCCTCTTCCAGTGCAATCGCGTGCGTCAAAGCCGCAGCGCTACGCTGACGGCGGAGGAGGTTGGCGTCAGAGGGATCCCGATCGAACTCCGCTTCACACTCCTCTGCGTCTTTTTCTGCTGCTGCCAATACCTGAAAAACATTCCCAAATACCTGTTTGTTCCACCACTTCAGAGCCTGTTTGAGTCGTCCAAGTTTCAGTCGCAGGTTGAGGAGACCGGTGGTGCCCGTCGGGACAACCCAACTCTGGCGGACGTGGTCCTGAAAAGTGTGGTGTCTGGTCCACATGTTCTGAAACCGGAATGCAGAGGCAAGGCGGTGTCTTTCATGCGAGAATCGGACCAAGAGCGGGGCGTGGTCCGAGTGCATCCGCGGGAGGTGTCTGACACGAGTCGTCTCAGCGAAATCCTCCCAGGCAGTGTTGTAGAGAATGCGGTCCAGGCGCTCCCAAACTCGTCGATTTGTCCATGTATGGGGGGAGCCTTCAAAACCGGCATCGATAAGATTCGCATCAAGGATAGCCGCTGAGAAATCCTGAATAGAGCGCAACTTAGGGCGACCTGGGCCCTTCCGTTCAGATATGTCGGCGATGGCATTAAAGTCGCCACCGATAAGCCAAGGAGACCCCAATGACGAGGCCGCTGTGTCCTGTAGGAAAGACCAGAGGGCACGGCGCTGGGTGACAGAACATCGCGCATAGATCCCAGATAGGAAAAAGGGCCGGCGGTGCTGCGGAGACGAAACCTGCACCTGAAGACACTGATCGATCTCCGAAATAGGCTCCAGTTTATAGGAGTCATCAGCAAGAATCCAGATAGAATTGACCGCGTTAGTAAGCATCTGGGAGAAGCCAAAACGCCGGCAAAAGAAAGCAACATCCGCAAAAACCATAGGCTCCAGAAGAATAAGAATGCGGATACGGTGCTGCTTGCAGAGCCAATGTACCTCTCGTTGAGCTCGGGGGTTGCCAATTCCGCGCACATTCCAAACCAAGAGGGAGGTGTCTGTCATCGGGAACTGGCAGAAGGGCGACGAGAGGCACTTACTTGCTGACGGGAGATGCTGCGGGTGATCGGTCTAGAGAAGGCCGGCGGCAGAGCCTGTGGCCGGTCATCTGACACTGTCTCCAAAGATCCGCTGAGAGACGGAGGTTCAGCGGCCTGGTTTAAAACGCACACCCCCCTGCTCGGATGCGACTCCGTCGACAGAGCGACAACAGGGAGCGGTTCCGATGAAGTCCGCAGGAGGGGTGGGTTCGGACCAGATTCAGGGAGGAGCTCTGTCCCTGTAATTGCATCAGCAGGTAGATCACCAGAGTGAAAATCAGTGGTACCTCTCGGAGAAAGAGATAGTGAATCGAGGAGGGGCGGTTGGCCATCCTTAATAAGGGGCGAGTCACCATCCGAGTCCTCGGCGAAGGTGGCTTGTAGTGCAGAGTCCTCGTCCCGCTGGGTGTCCGAGGAAGGGGAACCAGTAGCCGATAGGCATGTGTCCACTGAAAGATCACGTCGATCGCGGATAGGGGATGCAGGAGGTTCAGAGAGCAGCACTGCCTTCCCCTTATCCAGGCCATGACCAGAGGGGAGTCCCCAAATTGCCAAGGATTGAGCAGGAGGAGGCGACACAGGCTCCGGCGGCACCTGCATATCATCAGCAAGCAGTGGTAAAGGCGACGAGGGTACCTGAGTGGCCAATAGGGGCTGCGGAAGGAGACCAAGGGCCGAGGCGGTGGCAGGAGTCGCTGGAGTGGGACTCAGTCGACAGTCATCCAGAGGGGAGGCAGGACTGTCAATCGGAGGCTCAGCTGTAGTCTGTCCGGCCAGAGGGCGGGCCGGCGAGGTTTCCGAAGGCGCCAGAAAGTCCCCAAAGGTAACTCGAACACCAGAAGTAAGCAGCATCGCGGAGGCATCCCCCCGTGAGTGGGCAAAGGTCACCCGAGGAGGGGCGTGGGGGCGATGAGCCTCCGCAGGGCCGCTGAGATGCGCCGGTGTGAGCTGCAGTGACTTCTCGGGCGTCTGTGATGGATTTGGGGCCACCTGTATCTCCCCAAAGGTCACCCGCACACCAGAGCGAAGACGTCTGGAGCCATTCAACTCCGGGATGTCATCGGAAGGTCTCCGGGTAGAAGGCTGGGGGTCCCGTCGGAGGAGCTGAGGAGGGGCCTGCAAGGAGCCAGAAGCATTAGTAATACCAGTAGAAGGCGTACCCCTATTTCGATTGCGGCGCCGACGACGGCGTCGAGCAGTGGGGGGCCGGGATTCCATGATATCACCAGAGGCGGGGGCTGCAGAGATCTCAGAAGGGCCATGCACCGAGTCATGGCGACCAGAAGGCGCAGCAGGAGGATCCTGCGCAGCTGAGATGGTAACTGGTACCGGCTGCGAAGAAGGTCTGCGTAAACAAGCCTCCGCTTTGTGCCCAAGATGGCGGCAGAGTGAGCAGAAGCTAGGGAGCCGCTCGTAGATGACCTTCTGCTCGAGCACACCAGTACCCACATCAATCTCGAAGGCATGCAGAAGGGGCTTCGTAAGGTCAATTTCCACACAGACTCTGGCGTGGGAGCACCGACTCCGAGTCGCCGTAGGGGTATCAACCTTCAGAGGGGTCCCAATGCCAGCAGCAACCGTAAATAAAAGATCTCTGTGATACATGTGGAGAGGAAGAAGTGGGAGCGTAACCCACACCGGAACATGTGGAGGTTCCTCGGTAGTTTTGAAATCGGGGGTCCATTTGAGAACTCTCATCGGGAATCCTTTGATGAACCAAGTCCCCCGAATCCAAAGTCGCATGTAGTCAGCCTCGTAGTGAGGCGAATCACAATATGGCGGTGATTAAGATGCTGCAAAACAAACTTCCCCGCCAAACAGAAACTCGCAAAACCGTCGGTAAGATCTTTCCAAGAAGAGTACCCGTGAGAAAATTTACCGATAAGAGTGAACGGATGCGAGGCGGTGTACCTTGCTGTTTCGTCAGCAGTAAAAGCAAGGCGCGGTTGTCCGGCAGTGGAAATCCATTGTCCAATAGCAGTCGGACGAGGCTCCGCCAGAAAGGAGTAGGGACTGTCCTCAGGAGCATCGGAATTGAGTCCGGAGGTCACGGCAGTGGCGAAAGACTTGCGTGAATGGAGATGGTTATCAGCAGAGACAGGGCGTATCGAACCATCAACTTCGGGAGGCTGCCGGCGGCCGGCAGTAGTCTGGGCAGCCATGTCCGGCAAATCCACAGCAGAAACCTAGCTCCGGAAGGAGTCAGCGTCTGTCATCAGATACGGCGGCAGAGGGTGGGGGTCTGGGGTTTCCAGGGCCAGCTAGTCCAGACAGTGCCGTCCGACCTGCGATCAGAGCACCAGAGCGGCAGGAAGCCGCAATTCCTTGGCACCGTGCGGGCACTGTTCCAGCGTCTGGGGGGGGTGGTCGGACGTCAGGGTCGGGCGGAGAGTCGGGGACGACGTGTCGGGATGTCAAAAGTCGGGGTCAGTGACAGCCGCGACACCTTGGCCCCAGTCGGAAACTGTTCTGACGTCGGGGCACCGACTGGGGGTTGGCGGGGTCGGGGAGAACAGTGGTGGCACCGAGTCGGGATAAACCGTCGGGATCAGTGACAACCGCGATCCCTGGACCGCGGACGGGAACGGTTCTGGCGTCAGGGGCACCGACAAGGGGGTTGTCGGGGTCGGGGAACTGATGGAACCAGAACTGTGGTCGGGCAGCGAAGTCGGGCGGAGAGGCGCCGAGTCGGGGTCAACCTTCGGGACCAGAGACAGCCTCGGTCGGGCCTCGGTCGGGATCAACCTTCGGGACCAGAGACGGCCTCGGTCGGGCCTCGGTCGGGAAACCTTCGGGACCAGAGACGACCTCGGTCGGGCCTAGGTCGGGATCAACCTTCGGGACCAGAGACGGCCTCGGTCGGGCCTCGGTCGGGAGATCAACCGTCGGGAGAAACAACAGTCGCGATCCCTGGGCCTCAGTCGGGAGATGTTCTGGCGTCAAGGAGCACCGACCAAGGCGTATGTCGGGGTCGGGTGATACAGTAATGGGACCAGAGAGTTGGTCGGGCAGCGGAGTCGGCCGAAGAAGCAGAGGCGGCGTCTCGGGAACTCAACCGTCAGGAGGCCAACCGTCGGGAGATCAACCGTCGGGAGGTCAACCGTCAGGAGGGCAATCGTCGGGGTTGCCGGAGGTCAACCGGCAGGGCAAAGTCGACGGCGGCTTCCAGCAGTGTATTCCGGTGGTCGGGTGGTGGGTTCAGGGACTCCCCAACCTTGCGAGGTCGGTGACGGTGGCCGAATGACGAACCGGCGTCGGAGATGGGAGTACGGCGGCGCCGAAGGTGACGCAAATCAGATCAACGGCGGCAGCGGCGGAGAGGTGGCAGCTCGCGGCGGTAGCACGGTCCTAGGGTTTTCCGGGCCGGGGAGTACGATGCCGTCGTCAGAATAGTGGTCTGACGGCGGGGAGATGCCGAACAGCGGTGGCGACGGTTCAGGAGGCAAACCGTCGGGGCCGGGGCCGGCGGCGGATTCCGGCGATCGAGGGGTGGGTTCGGGGACTCCTCAACCCTGCGAGTTCAGTGACGGTGGCCGAATCGCCGTTGGACGTCAGGAGGGGCCGCGACAAACTCGACGGCGCTGGGCAGATCCCGGCGGATGGTGACGGCGGCCCGCGGGGGGTGGTTTCCGACAGCGGGAAGGCGGCTACGGGGGTTGTGAAGGACGGCGGTCACGATGCTGATGAAGCGCCGGGCCGAAAACGCCGGAACGGCGAGTTCGCCGGAGACGTCGTTTCGGGCCTTGACGAGAGCGGCGGCTGGGGGCGTTTTCCGGTGATGAGGTTTGGTGTAGGGGGGGTTTATGGGGGTGGCGAGGCGACTGACGGTGGCCGATTTGCCGTCCGGCGTCTGGATCCGCCGGAACGGAAGTCGTCGGAGAAGGTGGCCGGAAATCGCCCAAGTGCTGGAGAGCGTTTGTAATTTCGCGAATGGTTTTGGGGTTTGGGGTTTGGGGTTTGGGGTTGGGGTTTGGGGTTTAGGGTTTGGGGTTTAGGGTTTGGGGTTGGGTTTCGGGTTTAGGGTTTGGGTTTAGGGTTTAGGTTTAGGGGTTTAGGGTTTAGGGTTAGGGTTTTAGGGGTTAGGGTTTTAGGGTTAGGGTTTAGGGTTCAGGGTTTAGGTTCAGGGTTTTCAGGGTCGGGTTCAGGGTTCAGGGTTCGGGTTCAGGGTTCAGGGTTTTCAGGGTTTTCATTCAGGTTTTTTTTTTTTTTTTTTTTTTTTTTTTTTTTTTTGGCTGGGCTCAAAGAGCTGCCTACGTACCCCAACGGGATCAAGCCATACGTAGTTCTGCAAAGTTCGGTACAAGTGCTGTAAATGTAAATAAAGATTGTAAGCAATAAAAGCTAACGGAAGCGAAAGCACGGGAGGCCCGCCGCGTCAGCATGGATGAGGCCACGGGTCCTCGCTGGGATGTCCGCCGGCTCAAGGATCCGCATATGAGGAAGGGCAACAGAGGTGTTCGCCAAGTTGTCCGCCACTTTATTGCCCTCGCGGAAAATATGAGAGATCCTCCACTCGATGCTGCGAAGCTGTAGGCGCAGGTGGTGGAGACAAGGCTGGAGAGTCCAGTGTCCCGTCGAGGAGGAGATGAGAGAGATACTGCTGGCCGAGTCCGTCTCGATCCAGAGAGGGAGGAGGCCGCGGGCAACCGCCAGGTCCACTCCAGATCGAATCGCCTGCAGTTCGGCCAAAGTGTTCGTCGTATTCAAAAGGGGAACTTGGAATGCCACAATTGGGGCGCCGGTGGCATCCCGAATGACGCCCGCGGCTCCAGCGGCGCCTGGATTCCCGAGCGATGCCCCATCAGTGTTGAGTTTGAACCAGCCTGGAGACGGGGCTTCCCAGCGTACCATGACCGGCGGCCGAAGAACCGGAGGTGGGAGGCGAAGACCGAGACTAGAGGCTAGGTGCACCTCCCCAGGCCAGTGCTGACGCTGAAGGAGGCCAGCACGGCCTAAGACCCTGCAAATGACAGTGAATACGCCAAATAATCCGGTCAGATGAATCTGGATACCTCGGTGTTTGGCGTCATTCCGTGCCGTCCAAAGAAACCAGAAGGCCAGGAGCGGTATATAGTACGGATACTCCGCGCATGTGGGGAGGACAGACGCCAAGCGAAACCATCAGGTGGGGCGCATGTGTCCGCGGGATTTGGATATGAAATAGATCGGCAAGATGGCGCCACACGCGCTGGGCAACCGCCGACGAGAAGAATAAGTGCTCGATCGTCTCAGACTCCCGACAGCACTGGCAGCAAGAGACAATAGGGAGGCCCATCTTCCGTAAGGCCTCATCGACAGGTATCCGACGGCGAAATAAACGCCATAGGAATACCGACATTGTAGGAGTAAAGAAGCGGCGACCACAAGCTGCAAAGAGCCAGCTCCGTGCTCCAGCTGTTCGGCTCATCTCCATGCTGAGGTTGTAGAGAAAGTACCTGTGGTCGAGGCCTTCCAGATCGGCTGATCCGCAGTCGGGGATCAGGAGGAATCGCCGAGACCTGCTGAACAAGGGTTTCAGGGAGGTAAGCTCGGAGGCGCGGCACATGTCCCACGTCCCGTTAACCCACATCTCTTTCACCCGTATCGGCGGAGGGCGGTCCTGGCGGTCAGCGCATAGCGGACGATCTCCACACCAAATATCATACCAGAAGAAGCAGTCCCCGCGCCCCAAATTCCAAGTGATCTGAGTCTGTGCCTCATCTCGAACCTGGCAGAGACGCTTCCAAACCGGGCTGTCGTAGCTCCTGCAGGGTGCAAGTCCTGGGAAGGAATTCCGAAAATATTTCTGTTGAAGCGCGCGAGCCCAAAGGGAGGAGCCATCTCTGAGTCGCCACCACAGTTTAAACGAGAAGGCCCGAACCGTATCGGCCAGGCGACGAATGCCAAGCCCACCCTCCTCCTGTGGCCGTGCAATATCCGCCCAGGAGATCCAATGGCGGCGTCGGTGCCCGTGATAAGAACCCCAGAAAAACGAGCAAAAAGTTGCTCCACAGAGTGAAGTACCGCCTGGGGGGGGCAAAGTACCTGCAGCAGATATAGGGGGAGCGAGAACAAAGTGCTCCTGATAACTGTAATCGACCCCCGTGAGATAGAACCGAGCGATCCCAGCGTGCAGATAACGACGGAGTTTTCCAAGGAGTTCCTCATAAAGAATATTGCGCCGATTGCCCACATAGAGGGGCGCGCCAAGATATGTAAGAGGGAGTTCAGCTGCGCCAAAACCAGTCACCGATTGGAGCTGTCGTTGAACAGTCTCCGGGCACTGGCGGCTGAAAACAAGCTGGCTTTTCTGACAGTTCACCTTCTGGCCAGTAATCCGTGCGTAAGTCGTCAGAAAGTCGGTCAGAAGGCTGATGCGATTGCCACAGGTATTAGCGAATATGAGGACATCATCCGCATAAGCAAGGTGCGTCAGCCGGAACCGACCACGACACCGATAGTACAGATCCGGAAACGGTGTAGAGGCGCTCCAAGCCGCGTGATAAGAGATCTGCAGCCAAGACAAAAAGGGTTCGGGGACAAGGGTCTCCCTGCCTAAGGCCTCGCGAGGAGGGGGAAGAAGCCACCCAGGTCCCCATTCACAAGGATCGTAGTACCACGCATGCTCAACACAGTTCATAATCAAAGTGATGAAGTGAGCCGGAAACCGAACCTGGAAAGGGCGTGCCGTAAGAACCGCCATGCACCCGATCGTACGCCTTGTTAAGGTCCCATTTCAGCAATAAATTGTGCGAGCCTCCTCTCAGATTAAGATCATGGACCATCTCCGACGCTAACAGGATATTGTCCGCAATCGCGCGGCTTTGACAAAGCGCTCTGATGCGGCGATAGAAGCTGCGGCAGTAG